TCCGCAGTCTGATTGCAGCCATTTTTCAAGTGGCAACCCTCAACTTTCTCGGACACTTAGGACCATTTTTCAACCGTAGTTTTCATCCCTTCTGCCCTCATATGAAAGCTCAACGACCCAGGGAGTTGATCCTGGCAACGATTTACATAATCTCACAATTTTGGGGGCCAAACAATCTCCTTTTTCAAAAGATACTGTGGGGGAGGCACTTTTAATGCTAACGAGCTGGTCAGAAATTCTCACTTGAATGAGTGGTCTGCACCCTGATATTGCGCGCATCGTAGTGCCTTCAATTCGTCCTGCGGGCGCTGTTGTTTGTATGGGGAGTAGGTAATTGGCATCCAGAGCGGTTTCCGCTTTCTGTTTAAATGGAAAATATCACCCCGCATATATCATTTCTTGCCACTGCATCCAGTCAACGCCCATATAAATAAATGGACCCTTATAGTTAAGGCCACTTACAGAAGCATATTTAACCATTGCTGGCATTTTATGATACTTATCTAACACTAAATGAAAGTAGGTAAAAAACAAAAAAGGCACGTTTGAAAGGCTACATAAAAAATACCACTGAATTCGAACACACTAAGGCCTTAGGCAAGTTCTTTGTATACAGTCCTATCCATTACAGGCATGGGGGCAACCTGAGGCCGTAACGTGTGTGTGCGTGGATGTGCGTAGAGAAGCATGCAGCCATTTGGTTCAGGAAACGGAAATACTTCAGTCATCTCTTCCTCGACTATGGCCAGTCTTATTCCTCATTTTAATACCTCTAATGGGAGCAGGTGATGTGTGTACGCAGATATACATTCAAATCAATTAATGACTATAGATCTGTCAGACTTTTACAAATTGTCCTGTTAAACATACCAGGAACTTTGTGTTATCAGGAATGAAAGAAAAATAAAAAATACAAAGTCGTGAGACCTATATTTTCCTTGTTTGCACTCTGTACTATACAGTCGTTCTTTGGCTTAACCGTGGCTGTTAAAACTTGGCGATCAGAACATTAATGAGAAAACAATCAAGGTGTAGCTTAATTTTTCATAGCAGTCCGAACAAGTACACACCTGTATCCCCACCATCTCCTGGTGCGGCACTGAGTTCAAGCGTGCATCTCATCGACCTGCGGATTCCATCGACACTGAGAGCCGACAGATCGTCGATGTACACCGTGGGGTCCCGTCCCGGCCGTGGGTGAGTGTCATGGCCGCCCAGCCGGAGCGCAGCGCAGGTACAGGGATCGCCCTGCGACACGACGAATCGAATCCTCCCGCCAGAGACTGCGTCTTGCTCCGTTGAGAGGTAACAGGGTGACGTAGCTTTAACAAAGCCTGTTTGAAAGAAAGATAAATCGGTTGTAAATAGATCCAGCTCGCCGTTGTTTGGTAGAGTTAATGGTATGTTTGAATGCTTCGATTCCACCGCTCACCAAAGCCAAAATTATGTTCGCACCGCATAACCTTCATCCTTAAATCTATTAAACTTGAACATTTGTAGCTTGTGTTATTACCACGCATGGTTTTTGAGTTTTTACTTTCTCATCACACTTGATTTAGGGGTTCCCGGATTTGTTGGCATTATTAAATAATTTACACATTATTGGTATTTTGATGGTTTTAGAAAATGTTGAAATCAGGTTTATGTTTTTGAAGGGACTGAAAAGTGACTTCAGTGAGATCAATACAATCCTCGAATAGATTCATCTGGAATCGATGCTTGTTCTACATTTAGATGCCAAAGGATGAACGATCACAAAAATTTGCCGTCTGCCCGATGTGTAGTGACTTCATCTAATGGGTACACGTACCTATCCACGTGACTACAATCGCGGTGTTGACAACTGTGTCCCACTTCGCTTTCATGGTTCATCCGAATTAGGTATTTCTGCGACTCGTCTGGAATCTGTGACAGCAAAGAAATGCAAAGGTAAGGTGGTGTTAAAAGTTTCTTTGCAAGACTACAGAGCTCGTGGCGTATATCCAGCGAGGGTGGCGGGGGAACGAGTTGCCTGGAAGACATGTTGTCTTGGTTGGGGCATGGGCGGATATTTCTTGTCGCATGTGGGGGGAGAGATAGCTCAGTACAGCGTTCATCCCAAGTGAGATCGTGACGCCGGCAGGTACGGAGTCCGTGGTGCAGGCTACGGGTGCACATATAGTCAGTGACGTAAATGTAGGGGGGTCTGATTATATTGGTAACCCCCACACCCCACCCCGGGATCTCCACCCAAGGTTGAGGTTAAGAACTGAAAGCGACGGTCATCTTTCTTCTTGGGAATGGATGAGGGTTCTTTGGTGGACTATAAAAAAAAATGGAAGGTCGTATTCCGGAAAAAAAAATCATTTTGCCCCTCTAGACACCAGACCTAAAGATCGCCACTGCTGGGATTATCCAGTCTAAAGACCAGTCACATGGATGAACAATGATGCAATAATGCTTTTGTCACGGTTGATTTCCAATAGCTTTAGACTTAACTCAGGATTGAATGACGATGTAAGTCTTGTGATGGACTAGCACGGACTTTCGGACTCGATTACAACCCCTGCATGTGGTATGATAGTGCTTCATTACTAAGAACCCTTTTGAAATGGATCTAAGGCTGTATCAGGGATGTAGAATATAAAGGATTATAAATAACATATGAACCAGAGCTTTGAAAACTTTGCTTCTTAACGATACACAGGAGAGTATTTGTTCTAAGCCGAGCAGAACCAAACTGCACCTCATCATGCTTACAGCAGCGCGAGAGAAGTCGACAAAAGTGCGGATCAGCAGTTGTCGACCATTGGTCGGACCCAGGCTCCCAGGTAACCTATGCCGCCAAGCAAAATCGACCTGTAGGACACGAAAATGTCGCTGATCCAACCTGGGCCTATTAAAACAACGCCAAAAACACATGAAGGCAATTAGACCTGCACAAGACAGACTTAACAGGCAGAAAATGCCAAAACACAAAAGACAGCTAAAAGCAATAATGCTTTAGCACTTCAGGCAGGTATAGAAATTTATTCTTCATCACTAAAATATGCACTGAAAAGATGGGAAGGAGCCTTGCTCGGACTATTTTGGAACAGCACAGCGCTATTCTCGGTACCAAAAGCTGGAAATTTTATGATGTGCTCCGCTGCAAGCGTTGTTAATTCTGCTCCCAAGTCAATAATGCGTGAACTGCAATAAAAGACTGACTTGACCAAGGAAGCCCAGGCCGTCGTGCGAGACTGGTCAGAATTAGGAACCCAATTACTGCAGGCTTGACATCCATTATGGCTTGACATCCATTATTTACAAGAATGGCCTCGTGTTGCCTTGGAAATAGGCATCAGCCAATCAATAGAGGCACAGAAAGGACTGCATGCCATCGTCTGAAACTGTCGGATGATGAGGGCGAATTTGCCAACATTGTGACTAGGTTCATTTAATAATACTTATGTTTGTAAATTCAAATTGACCACAGTTTCATATCAAATTTTCATACATTCCTTAGTATGTAATGGCAGTGCAAAGTCGTTACACACCGAAACATTTCTATGAAAAAAACTGGTACGCAAAACTTATATTTTATTAGATCAGTCATATGTTTTGTAACGAACGTAATTAAATTATCATGCAAGCTTCCCAGTAGTGTATTAAGCTTTTGGGGTTTTTTTGGGGGGGGATTCAAAATGCAAATGCACTTTTGAGCTCATTCAACACGATAATGGGGGAGAAAAAATAGGCCATTTATTTGTAGACAAATTTACCGATATAATTTCTTTCCTACTGACATATGAAGTAATCTCAGTTGAAAAAAAAATTTAAAATCCGTCGGGGGAGTTCCCCTGGCCCTCCCCCCCCGCTGAATACGTCACTGAGGCTAACATTTCAAAGGAAAACCCGAAATGTTGTGGGGCCATTTTCGAAAAACATAAATGCGAATAGGAGCATTTCAAACCATTCGTCTTAGGTCATGATAGCTCGTTTTAGATTTCAAACGCACTGCTTATTTCCATGACGCTGGGACTCAACATACGCTAATGCAGCCTTTGAAGAATCTCATGAATAATGAAAGGCACCACAAATGAATTAAATTAGACCTGAAAATGGAAAATATTTTTCACAAACAAGATTTCCCCTCTCCGAGACACGATTAACTGTCAAGGTAGGATTCAAAACCACGTTTCTAAGGGAGGGGGCAATTGCTCTGTAATAAGGGGAACCTTGCAGGGCTTTAAGCACAGGCTTTGGAAAGGAAGAGAAACTACACAGTACAAAGAAAACCATGGCACGCTTTAAAAACGAGATCCAAACCTCTTTGGGGGCCGGGATGGCATGGCCACACCCACCAATGACCACAACTTTCCTGATATTGGACGGTATGCCTTACCGCCTCGTCCCAACCCCGTTCTCTCGGGTAAAAGATTTCCATCTATTTCAACTCTGTTGTGAAATCTTTTAAACAGATTGACACAGTAAAAGCGCTGAATGAATACAACAGTTCGAAATAATTATATGAAATATGTAAAATTCCATAGAACAGTGCAGTTGATTGGATCACCTGTTTCTTGAAATAAGTCGACCTTATTACTTTGGAGGGCAATTTCACTCCCCAAATCATTTTCAGTCATGAAGTAGGGGTGAAGCTATTGTACAGTAATTTGTCCACATTTTGAAGAGTAAAAGTCGTTTTGAATAAATCGGTTGAATTGCGCAATTGTAAGAAAATTTTAGAAATGGGATAACTGAAAATGAAACTTGCATTTTCAAAAGATAATTCGACACCTCGGTTATTTTCCTCGACAGAGCTGGGAGTAACCTCGACAAACGCTGAAAACTATTTAAGAGCTGGTGTTGGCCTCTAAGGCTGAGCATAGATCGTGAGCAAGAAATTAAAGCGGATTGTTAAAAATCTTGAGTTCAGACTTCCCGACGACTAAAATGCATTCACTATCATTCAATAAAGGAAAAACATTTAAACAGCCATAAATATGCCATTCAACGGATAATTTGGCATCTCAGTTTTTCCTCGACACAGCTGGGAGTAACCAATAGAGTTTGGGTATGATAATTTATATCTAACTTATCTACGGAGTAACCTCGACAAACGCTAAAAACCAGTTATAAGAGCTGGTGTTGGCCTCCAATCCGTTTGACTGAGCAATGATTGTTTAGAGTTGCAATTTACTTACCTAGTCCCTCCTTTCTTCAAATGTTCTCCACTTCCCTAGAATTACTGACACCAAGCGCACAGTAAGACAATATGATAGCAAGGTATGCCGTCTATCTCTTAATATAGAGAGGTGTCCAGGCAGTAATGAGAACGAACCGTTGGTTGAAGATGTTATTATTTTCATCCAGTTTCCCCCAAGGACGAGTACCGGCTTGGAAAGCCTGATACGCTTCAGGCTCCTGTCTGTGGAGTGCTTGACTTTGGTCATTACTGGAAGCTTCCAAGGTTGTTTCCATGGTTATATGATATGTATTTGGTGACGTTGCAGAAATTCGCATTGTCTGCAATTAAAGTACATTTGAAATCCACTTTGAAGCCTGGCAAAGTCTTAGCGTTTAAATCAAATCAGAAATGTATTGATCAAAATTTGTTACGAGATGGTAAGGGCAAAGTAGATTATTTTATATACTGGTCAATTTCCCCGTGGCTAAAGGAGACGGAGATCCCTTGCCACCGGCCTGGTCGTATTTTTACATGCTCTGTCTTGGAATCAAACCGAAGCGTTAACTGCTTCCGCAAACGTGGCAACAAAAAGTATTTCTCAAAGCAGGGCATTCGACCTTTCAAGATTTTTTTATTTTGAGGTGCTTTTCAGAGCTGAAATTTTACAGCATTATATTACAGAAATTGGAAACTGTCAAGTGTATCTCTTTGATGCACTAGTTTGTAAATTTACAGTGAATTCAAAATTTTAATTCACACATACCTGTACTTACCTGTAAATACTTAAATTGCAAATGCTGATTTTCATGCGGGTGTGAATCGACATTCATTTGATAAGTTTAATTTAATTCTGAGTTGCAGCTACACTCACTTGAGAGACATCTGATTATAAATACGTAATGGTGTATATTTTGTACTATAGAACCGAGAAATTTTGTAAATAAATTCATATCAAATATTGTGAATAGTTTAGATTGGGTTTGGTTACGATCATTTTCTGGCATACATCCAGTCTTTCTAGTTGCAGTGGCCGTAAAGTGAGCACACTGTGACACTTTGCAATGTTGCATTAAAGTTATCGTATTTGATAATATTTTGCTTGCATAACACTGAAGGCCCAAAGGGGAAACAAACACTGTTTGCTCTTGTGCATATATCTTCGATTAAGAATGATAACACTATGGACAAAAAACTCTCTGTTACCATCGTTCCTCGGAGATTCACGCGCGAATAGTCTCCTGCAGTAGCCTCTTATTGATTAAGCATGGTCACAGCAAATATATTCAGACCCGTTCAGGCACTGTTGTTGAAGTTATAGATACCACAACGTCACAGAGAATAAAGACAGTCAAACATTTGTCATGTGTTCTCATACCTCCCTTCGCTGTCATGTGAAACGAGCGCAGCATTTTTATCGATAGTTGCTGCATAAATTTACAAACAAAAGTCAGCTGTAAATAAAACTTTTTTTTTCATTCACAATAAATAAGGCGCCCTTCTCTGAATATTCATCACCTTTAAAGTTTAATATTTCAAAAGGAATTGGTTTCGGAACGGTTAAGAATTGTTTATATATTTATGAGGATTTTTTCCCATGTAACAGTATCGACGGCAATCCCCTCTCAGTTTTCCCCCAAATTACCCCGAATCGATGACTGGTTTCAGTGAGGGTCATTGCTTGCTTGTTTTCTTCTGTCTGTTGGGTGGTCAACAGGGCAGGCGGGCAAACGGGAGGGTAAGCAGTCCGTCGGGCTGTTTGGTTGGTTATTGTACTTGCTTCCTCATTTTTGAATGTATAAATGTGTATTTATGTATTTGATTGCAAATCACACCTTTTCTAAGGTGTTCATAGTCCTATTAAAATCCCCCCCGTGTCTTCCCACGGTGTGGAAAGAGTCAGAAATGTTAATTTCTTTATAGTTATAGTAGAACGGAACCGACTGAAGTAATTTGCAGAGCCACCGGCGCGCAACCCTCTATGGACACAAATCAAACTGTGCCCAAAGTGGGTCTGGCTCAGTGACATGGGCGTAAATCCCAGGAAGTGGGGTACATATCCCCCACACTTTTTGAGGGGGGCTATTGAATCATCCCCGCCACTTTTTGTGGTGAGCAAAATGAAGTGGATTGTGAAGAATTTTACAAACTTCCATCCGCTGGATAAAATGGGTTCGGTATCACACAAAAAAATGAAAAATGATTTTCTTAAAGCCATAAATATGTCATTCTGAATACAAATTACAGATGTACATCAATATCGCGAACATCGACCTCTATGTAGAGTCATGTGGTGTCACCCCCCTCCCATTTCAAATTTCCATGGCCCGGCAAGTCGTCCCCACTTTTCCCCATCCCCCATCATCCCAAATTTGGACACAAATTTGGGCCACTTTTGGTCCACCTATCACTCCCCACTATTTAGGCAAAGGCCACAATGTTAGCATATTGAAGATAAATCGGAACATAACGATCGATTCTGCAAACCGACCAACTAATCGAGAAATGAACGCACGTGCAACTTAGTTATAGTTACTGACCCGAAGGAATATGACGTCACTTTGTCAACATCACCAGATCTTTCTTGCATGTGACGCCATTTTTGGCACAATTAGGGTTTTCAAAGGCCATTTTGAGAAAAGCACCTTTTGACAAAGAACACGTCTATAAATTCATAGCAGGCCTAATCTTGAGGCGCTAGGCTTCAGCACACATTATGGTAAGGCCTGAAATGTCATATTAACAACAACCAGCCAGAGTGCCAACATCAAATATGGACGGCAAGCAAAGTCGGGACAGCATTGTGGATTGTAAATCAAAACCGGGACGATGAAAAATTAATGACAAAAGCACTGACATAATGTGTGTCAAAGTATTTCCAAACTCGATTATTACCTCTAACACTACAATATTATAACTGAATCTAAACGACGCAAAAAACTGTTTGTTTTTTTTAACTGAGCAAAACGCTTGCTTACTTGCCCGATTAAAAATACCTTAGATGGTTGAAACACACAAAAAAAGAATTAATGATTTCAAAAAAGATTTTCAAAGGAATAAATACAAAAACATAAAGAACCCAGAAACATTCACATTGGTCTTTTCTACTCTGTGGCACGCTATGCAGTTCACCACAGCCACTAGACAAACGAACCCACTTATCAACAAACCAGCCAAGTTGCACTTCAAGTAAACATGACGCTTTGTTGCATGTCACCTGACGACGAAAAGTGACTGAGCAGTATTTCAGTCATATGATGCAAAATCTTGGGCGGAGAGATCCCCCCGCCTTTGTGTTGGTCATTGCTTGATCGGAATCTCAGGAATCTTTACAGACTTCGGGGTGGGGGGTGTTAGGTAACAATTAATAGTCTAGAGTGTGTATAGGGATTGGACATGTGGGGGGGGGGTACCCATCGGCCCCATATCGTGCACGGTATCATTTCAGTGTAAAGCCTTTTCATTTTAAGTCACGATTACTTAAAGCCATGAAAACGTTCCAGTTTGTTACTGTAGACCTGAACGATGGAGTGTATAAGTTTCCAAAGCATCGAACCGAACAGACTGTATTCGCGGGGACCCAATTTCAGTCCGATTCCTCAACGTAATAATATTATATTCATTTGAAAACATAGAGACTTGATTCTAGGATTTCATTCCGACACCCAATATCAAATGGTACCGTCCCATTACGGGTCTCAAATGTACAGGCTGAAATTGAGTACCCCGCCAATGTGGTCTATTGGAAGCAGTCAATGTGCTGCCTAGAAATGTAACAGCTGAATCTGGCCTATAGTGTGAGGACAAAACCCGGTCCGACAAGAAGAAGAAACATAAGCCTCGTTACAAACACCATCAAACAAGCAGCGTTTGTTTTTGTCCCACGTTTTATTGAACGGTTCATTTAGGGACGTTGATGATAATTGCGCCATTGTATTCAACGGTAATTTGCCGCGCTTTCTCACCCAAACAATCTCCCACGTCTCTGGTGACAAAGACTTGGCTGGTTCGCTTGACGAATACTGTCGAGCAGTCGCTACGGTAACAAACCAGTGTCTCCAAATTGGCATCACGACGACGTATAGTTTGAAATACACCGCTCAATCTTCAGCGGACCACATTTCAAACTGAAAAGGATAAAAATTGCCAGGAAATCTGGTTAAAAAACAGAACAAAATCAAAACAACGTCAAACAAATATTTTTCAACGCATGCATTTGCTAACACGCTGGTTTATTTCTGCCGTCATTTTCATATTGGAAAAACTATTCACGTCTTCGTCGCAGATTGTACACGTAAATTTTAAGTTGATTTTAACTTTTTCAATTGATACTAGTACGTAACCACCAGTGCACTGGACGGAATCGGCAATGGCTTTTTCGAATAAAATATAAATGTTAAAGCGGAATTTTATATGTACATTTTAAATTGCTATATAAACCAGTTTTCAAAACCACACACGTAATTACAAATTCTCACATTCGATCGACCTTCTAATCTTTCCCGATGGCCCCCTTTAATGGCGGAAAGCACTATGTTGGGTTTTAAGCGAAGCGGCTACCACGAGACAATGGCTCTGTACAATAGCTTTTTATCTGTGCTTTTCAACACTAAATATGGACGGACTGAAAACGCAAGCATGGCGGGGGCAGAGGAAGCGATTTGCCCGTCTCAGCGGCATTTGACCAATCTTTTTTGGAAGTTTATTTAGATTTAGAAATCAAAAGCTTCACAGCTAGGACTGGCAACAATATACCCTCCACCAACTGAAAATATTGTCTTGGAAAAATTTACTGAGCCTTTTCCGCAGAAAAAAAGTTTTTTTCCCGCTCCACCCCCGTGGTCCTTGTGCACTGTATGCCTTGAAAGTTTCACAACTTCAGAGAATAAGATGGGGTAGAGTGTTGTGGGTGCATCACTCCAGTGTGATGGTATAAGGGTTCGAACCCTACACAGGTACCATGATGCTTTTGTTCCTGGGTTAGACACTTTACTGCTTTTTGCCACCCAGGAATATAGACGGGTACTTATGGTGGCCGAGATTAAATGATCTCACAACCCAACGGCCACCGTGTAAAAACCGCGTAGTGCTTGGATACTTCTGTGATGGAGATGCCATTAAAGCATTTTTCCTCAATCTGTTCCGTGTTGAAGATGCTTCAATGAAGATATTATTACACTAACAGACCAATGTTATGTACTTGGTGTAAGAACAAATTGGCAAATCTAGCGATGTTTCACCTGGCATTCCTGCTGGCAACGTCTACCGGTGGGGGGGGGGATTTGGAATTGTTTTTCATTTAATCTTTTGTAACCTTCATGTAACCTGGCCTTTCTGGGGGGTAATGATACATTTTGGGTCTTTTTACACGCTTCTGATGGAAGGGAAATGAAACACCAACAAATTTGCCTTTCTCTCTGAATATTCCCCCAAGAAAAATTTGGCTTTTTGGGGGGGGGGTGTGAGTGGGAGGTGTGGCCACTTATTACCCCCCCCATCCACCCTTAGCAAGATGGATCACAACTCTTTCAGACTTCAAAGTAAAATCAGACCCTGAAGGAAGAATTTACATCACTTAGGGATAATCCATTCTCATTTTTTTAAAAATCCTGCTGGAAAAAATAAATCAACAGAATCAAGCCTGTCTTTTGCAAACCCTGAAGGGCCTTCACAAGTCAAAGTACCAAGAACACCTCCTTCCCAGGTGTTGTTGGTCCTTTGACTTGTGCAGTCAGGTGAGCTCGCGCATTTAACAAGATGTAAACTTTACACTTACAAACTTTAATCAACTGAGCAAACCATTTTGTTCTATCGCAAGGCTAGGTGCAGTTTTTAACAGAAGATTTGTGAAGGGCGCCAGGCTTAGTCTAATTTAAGGAAGGTCACCATCGTTCTTGACATTCTATTCCAAATATGTACATCATCTTTCCTAACTTCTCATGAGGGGGGTATTCATTGTGTTAGTAATCTTTTAACAACAAATCAAAGGGGGTTGGGTGGGGTGTGGGAGGGCGGAAACTTAATTTTAGGGATCTATGGCCCAGACTCATGGTAGCTTCTATTATAAGTATATGTGTACAATGCAGAGTGGACTTTCTGCTCCATTCCATCAGATCTCGATGGGTTTGACGGTGGGCTTGCGGATGTGCCTCATGTTGGCTCCCGCATCCTGGGGCTTGAAGGGGGCATGGGCGCCGTAGGGCCTGGGCACAGGCAGCTCGCTGTCGTCCTCGGGGATGTAGGCGTTGGGGCGGGGCTCGGCCGTGGTGGTGGTGCCGCCCGCCGTAATGTACTGCTCCTCTTCCTCTTCTGCCTGTGGGATCATGGGGGGGGAGATAATTGTTGAAAGCAAATGTTAATGGACCATCTTCCCCTCCCCTGTATGTTCCTCTGAGAGCAAGTTGTTACAGCTCAAACAGGTATCGTCCCAGCAACTATTGCATGCATGAACTTTCAAATCTTATTTGATTGAAGTAACTAATCGCAACACTGGCAGCAGTGCTTTTTGGACACGGTGAAATTCTGGGACGTGTTGGCGTGGTGAAAAAAAAAAGCCCCCAAAACAAATAAAACAAAATTAACCAACACTGGCCCCGACCGGGTTGATCCACAGTTTCCTGAAAGCACTGACAATGGATGACTGCTGACTGCCGGCAACATGCAGGGTCTAAACTCTGTGAGGTCGCTTGCACACCTCTTCTTGTTCCGTTGCTGTGCGAACCACACAAACATACCACGTGTGACCTGCTCCGTGAAACGGAGTCACGTCACCAGAGTCACTTCCAGTTGAAGTTTGCAAGCGGAAATGAACAGGAACGCCTTATATTTCTCATCCATGTATGTCTGTTTCCATCAGGGTGCCAAACTGAGAAATGTGTCAACACAAAGTCTGAATTGCTCTCTATGTGAGGGATTTCACTAAACATTTCAAAAGGTGCAGGGACTGCTTTCTTACTTAAGAGTCAATTTTGGAATGGGATGACCTTCTTCTACTGTAAGGTCTACACTGCTGTTTCATGGGCACTAACTTGTTGTTCTGAAATGGCTTTCAATAACGCTAGTAAAAGATGGTGGATATTACTCATAAACAGTGAAATGACACAAAATGATTGGAAGAAAGTTTGTCAGGTGTGTCGTAATTTGTTTGTCAAAACAAAAATATAACAGAGCAGCATAAGTTTGAAAATAACCTTCCTTGCAAATCTATACCCAAGGTAGATTTCTTTTTTAGTCTAGGAATCCAGGGGGTTCATTGTCTCAGAAAATGCTCTTCCTCCTAAGAGCTTGTCTGGCCTCATATTAGCAAGAAGCTATGGAACTTTCAACGAATCTTGGGTTTCTAAGAGTTTCTAAGATTTTCTCAGAATTGATGGGTTTTTCCATCTGAAAGAAACCCTCAATTGTAGTGTTTTCTGTGTGAAATTGAACCCTGGTGACCTAGTCAATGCGGGAAACCCGGAACATTGGGACAGTGCGCCTAAATCTATCCCAGTCTGACTGCCACACGTACCATCCTGCGCCGGGTGGCATCCTCGTTACGCCGGCTCTCGTCCCGCACCATGCGCTCCCAGCTGCGGGCCGCCTCCTCCGAGGGCGCCTCGCCTTGCTCCATGCGCAGGTAGGCCTGGTCCAGCTCCGCCTCCTGCTGCCGCACCTGCTGCTGCAGACCCAGGGCCTCGGCCTGCCGCATGGACAGCTCCGAGACGGCGGCCATCATCTTGCGGGTCACGTCTTTGATCTTGGACTGGACCTCGTTGACCTGGGAGGGGCACAGAGGAAGATTGGGAGAATGCATATTTTGAATCTGAGAGCGAACTGAATAAAATCAGCACACTGAGGGATGTGCTTGAACATTGGGACAAATGGACCAATATTTATGACCTCTTGGGGTGTGACTACATGTAAGTAAGATACAGACAAGCCCTGCTTTACAAAAGTCATTCTTTTTTTCTCCTACATTCCATCCAAACTTTCATACAACCAACTTGCCCGGTTCCCTACCATCGTTTGGCTAGGCACACTACCTTTTTAGCCAGTTGCAGAGTGTCTTCCTTGCCGCTGTCCACTTTGTTCCGGACGTTCTCGGCCAGCCTCTGGACCTGTTCGTACACCAGATCCTTCTCAAGAAGTTGCTCCTCTTTTTCAGCCAGGCGCACCTCCAGCTACAAAACATAGCCACAGTGAGAACACTTTAAAGTCAGGGTCCACAACTGGCCTTCCAGTGCCACAAGGGCTTGGGCCTCCGATGAGACCCTCCACCTTACTCCAAGCTGTTTGTGTCTTCGACTCATGAGAAGACAAGCAAGTGGTTCTCTGTGAAAACTGCCTATGCCACATCTCAGAAGCTGCCTTGTGTTTCGACTTGAGAGTGGCTAACTACTGAAAATATGTAGAGGACTTGACAACATTGGCCAAGTTTGATCAGTGACAAATTGTCAACCAGTGGTCGATATTGACTGGTAACCTATGCACTAAACATATATCAATCACCCCTGTGGTTGACAAATTGTCGCTGACTGAACTTGCCTTGTAACTAGAACTAAGTACTTCAGTCTAAAGACTCCTGTTGCTTATTTCCTAGGCTAACAAGGCTTTGTGCACCAACCTGCTCAATCTTCTTGTTGAGTTCTGCTGGGCTCAGGTCCTTCCCTTCGAGGAATCGTACCCGATTCTCATCGTATGGATTCTCCAGTTCCTTCTCCAGCTCTCCCATGCGGTCCTGGCACTGTGACAGCTGCATAGCAAAAACAAATGAAACAAATGCCAATATTACGCATGTATAACTGCTTGTTTGCATGTGCTCCACAAGCGGGTAAGTACTTCAATCATTATTGACCGGTTGCTCTCCTTGGAACTGGGATTTGTACAGAAATTTCCCCTTTTAAGGGACCGCGACCCAGCGGAGGACCTGAACCAAACACTACCTTGGAGCTTTGGCCCAATTCCCAATGTCTTACATCATATTTGGGTTTTCTTAGGGATTTGGAAAAGGACCTGACTACAACACCAACAGGCACTTCAGAGGAAAATGAAAGTACTTGTGGAGTACCCTCATAGGGAGATGGGCTAACAGTGACGCAGTGACTTGATCACCAACATTGGCAGACAGCGTGAGTGCACCTGATAACATTGCCCACATCTTGTTCAAGCACATGGGCAATTCTGTGACAAATTTCATCCGATATTTTAAACTTTGTTTTTACAGAAAATGATTACGTTGGGCACTGCTGTGAAGACAGTGATGCTGAAAAACAACCAACACTGACAGACAATAAGGCATTATCTTCACAATAGAATTCATTCCTAAATACCCTAGACAGTTTCCCTATTCAACAACGTGCAACGTGACAATGTATTAACACTTGATAATGCCCGCTGAGATTTGATCACAACTACTGCATAAAAAATGCCCTGGTACCTGGATACGAGACAGCTTAATCCATCCCTATTGGTCAAGAGTCTGCGTGCAACGTGCCACGCAGATGCCAAGTCCATATAAGGAGATTCGTCTGGACTAAACAAGGAATATACCATTAAGTGGACGGGGTTTTAGGGAAAATAAAAGTAAAATTCTTCAACAAAATCCTTGGAAATTCACAGTATGTTAACTCCTTTTGACTCTGAATACAACGGTATTTATAAATGGAAATACTATGTGACTATTTGTCTATTTGCTCCCTTAATCCAAATGATACCTTAGAAAGGGAGGTTGCGAGGTTGTCAGTCTGTTACCATGGCACCCACAAAGTTTTATTTGATCCTTGAAAAGCCTAAATTTCAGAACAGTATCTCTATGACAGAGGGGCCACTTCCAAGAAAGAAAGAGCACAAGATTATGATAGGAGTCATAGTGGATATATCCCTTTCAATCTGTTGCCCTACTTAACTGGCCCATTGTCATTTACAAGTTAGCCACATCCCTTAGACAACCCTATGGAATTTGTATGATGACTTTTGTTCATCTCAAATTTTGGCGCATCCCGCCTCTTTGTTTATCAGGTAAAATGACAACATTTCATAAGCTGTGTTGACGCGATTCTACTGGGATAGGTCAATTACCCACCTGTATCTGCAGGGTGACCAGCTCCTGCTCCAGCGCCCTCTTGTTGGGCAGGGTCTGGCGCTTCAAGCCGATGGTCCTCTTCTCCTCGCCGACTTGCATCTTCAGAAAGCGGATTTCCTCCTCCCGCATCTGCAGCTCCACGTCCCCCTTGCGGATCATGTCCTCCTGGATGTTCACCTTCTCGTAGAAGATGCAGACCTCCTCGTTTCTCTCGATCAGCTGCACGCCCCTGAGTGGAATAAAAAAAAATTTGAATACAATTTTTGACTCCTTATTCCGGTATTCAAAGACCAAAAGAACAGACACTTGAAAAGTTTGAGGTTAACAGGTGTACATTCTGTCTATTCCTAAATTCAAGAAAGGGGGCCAAAGAGGGAATCGTCAAATTTGCTGTTACTACTAATCTAAAACCCTCACAGATATTTGTAACAATCGTAACCAAAATAATGGTTCACTTTGGAATGGTTATGCTATCCGGTTCGTCAGTGAGTTTGTCACAAAGGCAGACGTGCCACAATTTGCAGGCTCCCATTGGACGATCGCTGAAGTTGCACGTTAACTTCCGGTTTCATAGTTCCATGTAAACGGTGATCAATGCATGCAACTCTATGAGCAGTGCATGTGCAGTGGGTGTGGTTTAAACTGAAGTGACGTCACACTTATGAACCGGATGTTCTGTGGTCTTGAATGTGAACATTATTATTATTATTATTTATTTGGCATTCTTCACAAGGACACAGCACCATACGGACAGTACATATACATGTAAGATACAGAAGGCCAGCAGCAAATGTCAGGAGATGAAAAAGTTAACCTAATAACTGTGGCTCAAGGGCCTCCATTTCCGATACTACTGACCACAAACAACACACATAAAATATATATATAAATCTAAATGTGAATGTTAAAAAAGGTTTAATCATTCCCGGAAATAAATAAGTAAATAAACAATAAATAAGAAGTAGCAGAAATAAAATGAATAAAGTAAAACCATCAAGACTAAATAAATTAGGTAAAAATGAAACAGAATAAAATAAATTAAATATTTATAGGCTAAGATCAGAATAGAAAAAATGAGTTAGCAAGAATTAATAAAACATTAGGTAAAATTAAAAATGGGTTATAAGAAGGAAATAAAGCTAGATTTTTGGAATCAATCGATATCATATAATTCTGTCTTGAGTAAGTTGAGACAACATTTCAGAGGTAGCTCAACCACCCCAGTTCTAAGACTCTCTGGGAGTTCTTCCCTGTAACGGGGAAAGACGTTAACTAGTGAGTAGTGGAGTTTTTGGGTCCGAGCCCTGAGGTGTTTGAACTTGACGTCACAAACTTTCTGACAATTGATCATAGCATACGGACAACTACTTCGCCATTAATTACACCATAAAGCGCTTTGACAATAAATGAGATGAAAAGAAATTTCCTCCTACATGCCAGAGTGGACAAATTAAGGATTTTCAGTCAATCCTAATAACTCATTTCCCTTTTCCTTTGTCTCGGGATCATACGAGTGGCCGTACGTTGGATCTTTTCAATCTTCTCTCAAAGGTGGTTACTATAGAGGTGCCAAATGGGCGGACCATACTCTAGAACTGGCAAAACAAGAGATTTATACAAGGAGAGAACAACATCTGGAAATATGTCCCTGGCAACACTAGGTATAAAACCCAGTAATTTATTAGCTTTCTTGGTAACATAGTGGACATGATCATCCCGGGTTATTTTGTCATTTAGAACAACACCAAGGCATGTCATCTTATGAACAACCTCAAGCTGAGAATCATTTAATGTATACTGCGGGTTGAGAGTGTTTTTGGACCTAGTAACTCACACAACCTTTGTTTTACTAGTATTGAGTCGCATGCGGTTACTCACAAAGCATTTATCAATTCTGCCAATGTCATCTTGGAGAATTACTTCGTCTGTCTGGGAATGTATTGGTTGATATAATAAAGTATGATCAGCAAACAAAACAGTGAGTGATTAAGTACAATGTAGCTCCAATAACCGACACCTTTAGCAGCATTACTGTAGTGCACTGACACTCAGGTGTATTTCTCTTATGCAAAGATGTGCACATTTTTGCACATTCCACGGAAAGCTGGTGATGCACTAACCTTTAACAATCACGTGTGCAACCTAGTGCACATAAGATGTGAATTTCTCACAAGTAGGCAACAGGGCACTATCTATATTCTCCTACACAGAACTGACTGCGACTTCCAAAGCCCTCAGCACAGCTGTAATGATAGACACCCTAATACCACTTCTGTTGTGCATTTATATTCAGGTGTGTTCATATCATGCAGAGGTAGTACTGATTTGTGCACATTCCATCGAAAAATGGTGGTGCATACCCCTCTGCCAGTCACATGTGAAAACCAGTGTGCAAACACAAGCGATGTGTACTTCACATCAGGGGATTTGTAACAATCTCCCATGCAGGAGGGGCCCATGGTGACCCACCTGTCATTGCGGTGCTGCACTGCCGTCTCGTAGCGCTTGCGCAGCTTCACCATCTGCTCCTCGGCCTGGTTGATCATCAGGTTGAGCTTGGCGATGTCCAGCCGCTGCTGCTCCCGCTTTTCCCGCATCTCCTCCTCGGCTCGCTGCTGCTTGGCCAGCTCGTTGCGCAGCTGGTCCCGCAGCACCACGGCGTTGACGTGCTTCAGTCGCGCCTTCTGCAGTTGCCTATGAGCAATAGAGAAGTGAGGAGAGATTGGGGAAAGTTTTGATCGGTGGAAAATCAAGTCAAGGAAGAATATGTTGCAACATTTTATTACTGGCTTGTAGAAAGACCTTTCTGAGAGTAAGTGGCAAAATGACGCTATTGTCTTCTGGAAAAGTTATTTCATATTTGAAAGATTGTAAGTAGTTCCGATCCTGGGGCACCTTACTGATCATTTTGTCATTCTTTTGTGTTAGTGTAATAAAGTTATTCAAGTATTCAGCATAATTATCATGACTGTGAGACTTTTTACGCGAATTGCTTTACGAACTTTGATGGCTTTCAAAATTTTCCAAATTTAAATGTCAATACAAAGTGCGCAGAAGTTAAAGTTTGAGTCTATATTTCTCGTATCATTTCTTCTTTTCAGAAATCCTTCAGAATTTGTTTGCTACAATTACTGTTTACGATTCCTGTCTGTCTGTCTGTCTGTCTGTCGGGCTGTCTGTCTGTCTATGGTTTTTTTACTGGAATTCTGTATGTTTACAAAAATTACAGATACTTATCACTGATCCGTCTTCAAATACACTTCAAAATTTGTCACAAAATTGCATCGACTACAAATGTCTTGAGCAGAGCATATTTGGAAATGTACCTTTCTTTGGTTTGGCAAGATGTCCTGAGGATCTCGATCTCATTTTGGAGGATTTTAATCTTCTCCCTCATCTCGGCCGCCTTCTGGGTGCTGGCCTGGATCAGGTTGACGCACTTGTTGCGCTCGTTCTTGATCACGTCGTACATCTTGGCAAAATCACGCAACCTGAGAAATTGGAAATCATTACAACAATCAGGATATTTGAAAACTGAGAGTTCGGAAGAGACAGAATCCTGGGGAAAAACTTTCCGATGACGAACACTACCTTCATTTGTTTACAGACATTTGCAAAATAAACATTTATGATCCTGTTGCAGGTTACGGGATTAATTGTGCAAGACGTCTGAACTCTGACTGCCTGGTTGTGAGTAATCTGTAAGAATCTACCTGACATGACAGAGTCAGCTAACACCTATCAATCAATCAATGGCCTTGGTATCTTTTCTACCCCCCTCCCAAAAAAAAAACCCTGCCCTAGTGTTTCACTCCAGTCTCAGTCAAATTCACTCTCTAAACATTCATATTCAGTGACATCCCACTTGTGGGGAAAGACCGCCTGTCTTCACAGATCCACACACGTTTGGTGCGGAATGCGCCAACCATGAGTGACCACGTTCTGTTGGAATGCATTTCTCCATATGCGTGCCTCAAGCCAAGATGAAATATTTCCCACCTGCCTGTTTTCTTCTTTTCCCGTGAGGGGGTGCTTCTAGTTACAGCCGATAATCTATTAGCAATCAGCTTTACGCTGCTACCCTTCACGGCCTCCGTGTCCCTCACCTTATCATCATCTCCTGGTACTTCTTCTTGTTGTCCACGATGGCCAGATCCTTGGCCTTGAGGTCGTCCAGCGCCCGGTGGTAGCGCAGCTCGGCCCGCATGAAGTCCCGGGCCTTCTGCTCCCGCTCGTCGCCCTTGATGGCGGCCAGCCGGGTCAGCTCCACCACTTCGATGCGCAGGTCGCTCTGCTCGTACAGCAGCCGCTCCTCCTCGGCGATGCTCTGCTCCACTTTGACCTGCTCCACGGCTGTCAGGGAATTCTGATGGATGGATAGATACACGAGTTATTATGAAAACGTGAAACTATGACCAACCCAAAAGCTGTCGGTGAATACTGATGGGAAGGTTTCATCATGAAAACTGAAGCTTTTGCAGTTCCAATGAATTCTGACAGGATGATGGAGAGTTCTCACACAATAAAATAACCTTTGACAGGTTCTGCAGTTGTCAGTGAGCTCAAACAGATTACAGCAAGGATGTGCATTCAACAAACCCGAACATTCCGTCGAAATGGTCACTTCTTTTGACCTCTATGTTTAATGAATGAGTGTCAAAATTACTCTAAGTATCACACCGCAGGGCAACTGGTGGTTAATCAAGATATCCCATGTCTTCTAAGGACATCTTGAGAGTTTTGTAATCATATATGACACGTTTGACGGCCGATACCTGATTCCCCAGCATGCGTTTGGTCTGCTCCACCTCTCTCTGCAGCTCCTTGCGTTTCTCCAGTAACGAGCCGTCGTCTTTGGGACCACCATCAGCCTGAGATTTCACCTTGTCAAACACAGACTGCAAGATGGCAAATACGTACATTAAATGTTAATAACTGCAACTTGACCAAATGAAGGTGCAACATGTGAACATACAAACAGTCTGAGTTACGTGCACGTGTCACAATGCCAAATGTTGAAGTAAAAATGTATCAATTGTATTTCCCCCCCCCTGCTTGACAGGCAGGGAACATTAAAGGCTGACAAGTTATGTTTAGCTTTAAAATAATCAAGTGTTTGGTTTTATTTTCAATGACGATACCGCACTACATGCCAACAAGTGTACAGCTCTTTTCTCGCATGAATGTAACGCAACAACACATCTTGCACTATCATTAAATACCTCCTTGAAACATTCAACGGTACGAACACCCATGCCTGCAGTGACACGTGAGATACAGCAAGTCACTACCAGGCCTTGTCCTCTGTGTTACAGCACTTTGCGACTGCGGTGGCACGCACCTGTGTGTGGGCCAGGCCTTCGTTGGCCACCTTCAGCTGGAGCTCCGTCTTCTTCTGGTTGCGCGAGTCTCGCTCCTTCTCTCTCAGCTTCCGGGCGTAGATGTCGTGCTGGTTCTTCTTCTCCATCTGCACGTGACGCAGTCCCAGATCGAGTGTTGCTCTATCAAGTGAATTGTTCAAAAACAAACGACTGAGGCAAGTGCAATTTATCAGAGGGACTGACCTCAATTATATTCTGGCATGCAACTTGGACTTTGACAAAAAGAAGAAAATTCCAATCATTACAAGAATTTGTATCATGTTTTTCAATTTTCAATGGCTTAAGAGTGAAGTGGAAAATGAGGAAATCGGCTGATCAGAGGAAAAGTTGCATGCCTGTATCTTATCTGCTGTAAGCTCGGTGACGTTGAGGACCACATGATGATACCTTGAGATTGGCAGATCGTCAGAAGTAATCCTCAAATTTAAAAACCTTTTCCACAGTAGTGAAAGTAGGCAAAAGAACTGTGCACACGAGAACATGTCTTTAAGTGTGAGTGTTCTACCAACATTGAGATGGTCAGCATGTCATGCAACAACGATTTCAGAGAAATACTCATAACGGTATGATGTACATGCAAACAAGTTTAAGGAGATAACAGTTTTGTTGGTATAGGCCAGGATAGCAATGTTCTAATATACCTCTACCTAGGGAAATACAGGTATCCGAGTAGCTCTTGATGACTTAACTTGGACATGGTTTCTTTGTTGAAGACAGGAAGAACTACTAGAGCTTCGGTGACCCGGAAGTCCCCTACTCACCTGTCGCCCATGTACACGGCTTCCTTCTCCCTCTCGTACTCAAAGTCCTTCATGCGCTGGTCAAACTTCATCTGCAGCTCTTCCAGGGCACCCTGGCTCTTCTGCTTCTCCCGCTCCAGCTGGAACTTGTCGTCGGTCAGCTGCTGCTGGCGGGCCAGCAGCCGCTGCAGCTCGCTGGTGTAGTCGCGGCAGGTCTCGTCCACCTCTGCCCGCTTCTTGTCCACTTCACTACAAGGTGGCGATGAGGCGAGGAAGATAACAATTCAGAGGCTTGGCCCAAAGTTGTTTTGATTAGGGATAGGCACGGCAGTGTATCAAAGGCAAAAGCCGGAGTCGCAGCCACAAATAGCAGATTTGAGAATGGTGCTGGTACAGTACATATACAAGTGTAAGATGCCATGTCAGTCTACATGTACATGACTGTACATTGTGAATACAGTCACCTGACCAACATTTGAAATGCATAGTTATGAAAAAGTTGGAAACGTTTTGTAGGGCAGCCTGTCTTCTTAGTAAAACGACTGCTCAACCTTTGAAACCGATTAACTACTGATTACTGCATGTACACGTGCACGATGCAACAGGTGCAATGTTCGACGGAAATTCATGCAAACTGCACTGTGAAAACGATAGCCCAATAATTCAAAACAACTTGCCAGTTTTTACACCAGTGACTATTTTCAGGAGTTTGAGTCCTCTTTCTGGGTTGGTTATTTTACAGTTTTTAAAGTGGAATAAAAAGATCACCAAGGTGGGGTACAGATAACAGGCCACAGGCCTTACTTCTGCTTGATGAGCTTGTCCATACCCTTGAGCAACTCACCTGGCAAGTCATGTCATGCCATATCATTCTGTTCCCAAGTAACGTCAAGTCCGAAGTCAGAAAGATTACCACTCTAGAAACAGACTCGAGTCTGAGCCAGCAATTCAAGTCAACAACTCAGTGTTGAAATAACCAAACCGGCCGCAACTCACTTCTTCTGCTTGTTGAGCTTGTCCATATCCTTGAGCAGCTGGCCCGGCAGTGAGTGCACCTGCACCAGGTCCTCCTTCAGCCGCTCCTGCTCCTCCAGTTCCTGTTCCACCTCCTTCCGCTCCAGCTCCACCGCTCGCTCCCGGGCGGCCAGCTCCTCCCGCAGGTTCTTGGCCTCCAGCTGGCGCTGGCCGATCTCCAGCCGCAGCTCCTCTGTCTGCTTGGTCAGCTCCTTGGTCTGCTTGTCGATCTCTTCTTTCTTGGGCAGCCGGCTGTACTCCCGCTCCAGCATGCGCTTCTCCTCCTGTAAGCTGGGGGGGGTTGCGGAGGGGGAGAGGTGGACGGAAGGCAGTATACTACATCAGAGCTCTTATGTGTGGGATGTAGGGTTGAAGGTTGTCGAACTTAAAAAGTGCACCTAATTCCATAGGGCATGCCCAGAAATGAAATCGCTATGCAAATTTATACTCTAAGCAAAACTCAGTAAGGAACCAAATCATTAACCAACGTCTTTTTACTGAGGTATTTTCTGAAATGGATGACTGGAAATATACTGGCCATGAAAGATTAAACAGGGAAGCGAGACTTATAGTGGGGTAGGAACACCACAATTTTCAAAGAGCTCGAGAACCGTGCATTACACTAGCTATTCTTGCCCTGGCATTAGGCGGTTTGCATATCCAACATTCTGAACATACAACATTGCATCAACCACTGTTTTCACTTAGATTTTAACAGAAACAATTCCTCACAATGCCAATTTGGAAAAAACCATAACCTTCAGGTGTCACAATGACATAACCAAACTGAAAAATGAAAATACGCCGAGTGGAAATGGTCAAAAGTATTTGTAAGGACTAGGATCACCACCTACAGTTAATGCCAATGAAATTAAATTATAGAGTATCAAAAGAAATCCATCAAGTTTGATTGTCGTGATAAATCAAAACACGGGAAGCTAGTAACCATGCCAGAATCTCCAAATGGAATGTTGAAATGAACTACACCCTGACGTTCGTTCTCTGTAGTGAGAAAATAAGGACAGGTGTCTGCAATTCCCAAGGGACAGATGGCACTTCATAAAACAAATTGGTGGCCATACCTTTCTGTCTTGAAATCATTCTGGTAGTTTCTCTCGGAAGACTGATCAATCTCGTTGGTGTGCTTGAGCAGCTGCGTGCGCAGCTTGGTCACTTCGGTGTTGGAGCTCTCGGGGAAGTTATCGGCCTTCTCCAGCTCCCCCCGCTGCTTCTCTAGCACCACCGTGCACTTCTTGGCCTCCTGGAGGAGGGAAGTCTCTGAATCTCTGGTCCTGGGAGATTGGAGATTGTTGGATGTTTTGCAATAAAAATCCCATGCACTCTCTTGAATGGATACCTGAGTCCTCAAAGGTCAGAAGTCAGATTACATGTAGGTGATGAAGAGAAATCCACGAATAATACAGCACTGGGGTTGTAAGCATGACAGTTTAATTATTTTGTCCTTTCATAGCTTTTTGTTGCTGAGGGATGAGTATTCCCCAAATGGCAATGATTAAGCAAAAATAAATCATGTACTTAAGAGTTTGTACAAAGTGCTTTTCCTGACGGATTATACCTTTAAAATACCACAAGTTTTGGGTCAAAAATCCTGAAATTTGGTTAAATTCTGAGATATCAAACACTTGGAAAACATGACCAATGTGCAGGAATCCAATAGCACAGTCTTCGAGAGGCATCTCTGATTCTTGGTGAAGTGGTTTGTGCTGTAACTTTTCATCCTTACAAGCACCTTCCAAGATCCCCTAGAATCCACCAAGGTAGAGGAAAGTAAAGCCTATCTACATGTAGCTACCACTACATGCATAGACTTTGCATGCAGCTTGCTGCTGCTGCAAAGGACACAGTACAAAGAATGCGTGAGTGCGCCATTGGTTTCCTGCACAGTTGCGGATTTTAGAGGCTTCAGATGTTATGATTCAATCCTGCAGTATATCTTCTGAAACTTCCTGATTACCGATTGAGGAGGAGCTGGAAAGGTTACTTTAATACGAGCCCGCAATCTCCCGTTTTGGCTCCTTGTGAAACTGAATTTGCACGCTTTCTTTCACAATTAACATCCAACACACTTTCATCATTATGTAATAGACCATGCTTGTGAGATGGCTACCAAAGGCTATACATATGTCCTGATGGAAAACGGATTCCAGACCCTCAGTGCCGGGGATGACGCATCTTCATGCATTGCAAATATATAATATTGTTCAGAGGTCGTTCAGTGGTACCTAAAATACCATACCTAGCCAGTGTTCTGTGTAGCTCTGTGTACTTGGCTTTGAGCTGTGCCACCTTAGTTCCTGTCAGCTTACCGTGTTGGAAGAGCTGAAAGTAAAGACAGAAGTCAACATGAAACGGATAATACATATTAAATGTGAGCACTCAGAAACACTTGTTGCTACAGTGCAAAACGTGACAAAACAGTTCTAACCAAAATTGTCACGGTGAAGTGTCAGCACTGAAAGTTACATGTACACATTACACATGTACTCAAGTTTTGTGTATTATGGGATTTTAATTTAGGATTTCCATCAATACTAACTTCTGAGACCAGAACACCATCCTTACAACCACAACACAAAATGCCACAAATTAAATGTTTAGCATTAAAAACATGAAAAACGACTACCAACAATAACTATGAATAAAGTATATTGTGTATGTGCGTGTTTTGATGATATGTGTTTGTATGTTATTGATAACATTAAGGAAAGCCACAAGACAGTGATTTAGTTCGCTTTTTGGCAGTCCGTTAGCCTCAGGGATGTTACCAATGTTTGTTTTGTTCTGGCTTGTGCATTGCATTGTATGGCGTTTTTTTGTCTGTTTTAACTGGGAAATGAACAAAATGAAACGATAAAGTATGCAAGCAACTTTACAGAAGTGAAAGGGTTTGTGATCGCTAGGAAGATATCAATTGTGAAATAACAGCTTTGTAAAGATTACTAAAGTTACTTTTGCAGACTGCAGGACACAAAAAATGACAAACAGGTCTGTCTCTTTTACATGACATGATTCAATGCTGAGAGATACATGAACATCTGCTGCACCATCTGCACTGTCAAACCCAAGTTATTAGATTAATGCATACACACGCTATCACATATTTAAACTGTGTACAATTTCAAGTAATCCAACGTCTCTGCTCTTGGAGACTGTACCTCATCTAGACACTGGAAGGCTGGGCTTGCCGACACCTCCACCTGGCTCTCCTCCTGCAGGATGACCTTGGGGGCCAGTGGGGCGATAGCAGGCTGGTACCTCTCATCGTCGCTGCTGCTGTCTTGGCTCATGCTGATTTCTGATAAACGAAATGTTGGACAAAAAAAGCCCTGTTTCACATCCGAAACACTGCTTCCTCAGTTTTGGGGATGCTGGCGTGTTTGGATGGGTTGGTGCAAGTGTGTTGATGGTACCCTGTGTGTCGGGGGCCTGTTTGCAAATTAGCCAATGAAAACTGTCAAGATAACCTAGGCCAATCTGATTAGAGGTCAAACAGGTCAAACCTCAATAACAAAAACACACTGGGATGTGCTAATGTTAGCAGGTTAGGCTGTCTCCAGGAGGGGGTTGTCTACATCTCCACAAACATTTCATACATGTAGGTTACTACTAACTACTAATGTTATACCAGTCTAAGACATAGCCGGGGGCAAGCTTCACAATGCCTAAATGGTTAGGTTTGTGCAACCTACAACAACCTGCCTATTAAGGCTACTGCCTTGAAATCAGGATAACGTTAATCATGCTAAGCCTAAAGCAGGACAAGCATGGAAAGGAATACGAGCATGACAAAGATAATAGACCTACCACAATTAGGCTATTTGTATTTCGCCAATTGAGAATTAGACCTAGCCCCCCCTCCCCCGGCCTATATAAAATTTATGAGGAAGAGTTCCAGGGAAGAGTTTAATATACGGACGCCAGTAATTATTCCCTACAGTGACCTGTCAGTGTCAGCTGTCAGAAAGAAAAAACATGTCCAGAAAAGTTCAATTTCCAGGATTTAATAGGGGGAAAAACCAAGTCACCCTGCGCCTAGTCAAGTTAGTAGGCCCTACTTTAATTTTTACTAAGGCTAGACATGCTATTATTATTGCAAGAACATTATTATTATTGTTTATTCATGCCAATTCTTTTTCATCCCATACAAGATGGGCACTGGACACATGTTGGAGAGGCAAAAGCAATGACAATCACTGTGGCCAAAGACCTGCCACTCCACATCGAGTTGTGCATAGAGTAAATAAATTTGAATAAAAATACTAATATATAGGCCCCTAAAAGTATTTGAAGCCAAAAGTTAGAACTTAAATTATTTAAATATAAAACTAATTAAAAGTAAAAGGAATTACTGGAAATGATAATGTACGCAATTAAATATGAATTTAAATAAGTTAAATGAATAAGCAATTAATGAGAGTGACACAATAAATAAGGACATAACAACAATTTAAATACAAAATAATACATGTGTAAGAAACAGTAGGCCTCGGCTAAGGGTTGGCCTACAATAAATTTGTAATGAAAGTCTAAAGGACATGAAGCCTTGAAATAATTGGCAAACAGGAGGCTTAAATAGTACTTAAAATGAGAAGACCTGCTGCTCCTCATCAAGGTGAAAGCAAAGTAAATACGTGTACATAAATAAATATAAGTAAGGATATATAAAAAAATAAAATACATTACTACATAGGCCTATGAATATTTCGATATAAAAAATGAACGGAGATGACTCACTGGAACGAATACTAGGCCTAGCAAGTGGAAACTTTGGCCTACAGTTTGTGCACAGGATGTAAAGTGAAGTGGAACTCTTTCCGATTTGTGTATATGGGATCAATATTTTAGCAAACTTACCAGAAATAAAAAATAAAAAACAACAACACAGTAACGGCAGGCAATCAAAGGCCCAATGAAGATTTGCTGGTCTCCACGATTAATGGCCATATCAAAGCCCAGCTTACTAGGCGTACGTACATGTATTAATTAATGCAGCATAGGCAGTTTCCAAGGAGTCAGGCCGTAAGCTTTTATCAACTTCACAGTTATTGGCTGTACATCAGAGTTTGGCAGATAAACAACCAATCAAAATAGTAGTTCCAAAACCTACTGATTTTTATTCGAACCACTCTCAATATATTTTTTCAATACCATATTGCTGTACAGTTTATTGAAATGGTTTTGTTGAAATAAATATAAAAGATATCTTAAATATCTAATAATATTTTATATATCTTTCAATAACGGATATCTTTATTGTGTTGACGATATGTAAACTTCACGACTTCTTAGATTTTATTGAAAGTCTGGTAGATATTAGTGTGTTACGCTAAATCATGAATTTGAACAGGCTACCAGACAAACTACTTCTGTATTTCTTTCACTGGTAACTCAACGCTGAAACAAATATTCAAAGCAAAGCAATTTCGCTGAGTACCATCGAAACTTCAGTTCGGCACGAGCGACCACGGCTGACACGCGGGAATCGTCTGCAGCAGTGTTCATTTCGATTTTAATTTGTGTCGGAATTTACAACAAACAGCATGAAAATCGAAGAAGTTAAAAGCACAACTAAAACCCAAAGAATAGCTAGTCACAGCCACGTTAAAGGGCTTGGATTAGATGATACTGGAAATGCCATAACAGCAGCTGCAGGTTTAGTTGGTCAAGAACGCGCTCGCGAGGTAAGCCCCAATACGTTAATACTAGGGTACCGGTCAACTCGGTCCGTAACCAAATCGGTCCGAGTCAACTCGGTCTGAGTCAACTCGGTCCCAAGCTAACTCCGTCCCAAGTTATCTCTGTCCCAAGACAATGTCGGAGATAATTAATTAGGGCCTACGCCTGCATTGGGCGGTACATGATGGTTGGGTCACTTCGCCCACAACTGCACAAGATGCCCGATGACGTCGGCAACGTCCGCAATGTGGTTAGACTTCAAGGTCAGGGTCGAAATAAGGTTTCTGTTTGCAGTTTGAAAGAATCAGGGACGAAGGAAAAGACTTCTGTCTTCGCTTTTCACGGTATCAGATTGAAGAAATTATCAATTTTCATTCGTTACCTACCTAGTATTCATATTGTTTTATACGTGCATTTTCTACTTTGTCTTATTTCCTGTTTGTTATATTCATTAGCCTATGTGTACTTTAGAACTAATGTAAATCATGTATGTGATTCAGATTTGCAGTGCGAGTCATGATAATTTGATATATTAATTAAAATCTGTTATTTTTAGTTAACAGTCTCTCTCTTTTCTAATGTACATGTACCTGACGACGATCACACCGTTCATTCCGTTGATGTTTATCACATTGCCCATGTGTTGGGCCGGCCAGTGGCCAAGCTTACTTCTCATTTTGTTTTCACTGCGCAACGTAAGCCAATATCATCTGGATGCAGGATACGTGTTGTGTGTACACTGTAGACTGCAAGATTGTAGAAATTGCCCACCTATATGCAACTTTGCTAGTGTCATTGTACATACAATGTAAAGATTACACTTGAGAATTGTATGCAGTGTCCTGTCGTACATGGACATGTCTCTTTGATGAGATCCCAAAAAGGTGTGCTAGTTTCAAAAAGAGCAATCCGAGCACTTTGTGTCAATATACATGATATATATACCTGTATTGCTACCGAGTTTGGCATTGTTTGGTATTGTGACAGAAATAGTCATGGTGTCATGTGACTCACTTGGTGTGGTTGAGTTACATGTACATACAGAGTACATTGGCATACACATGTAATTCTCATCAAACTCTCCTGTCCTGGAAGTGCACATGGACTCCTTTTCATCAGATCTAAGCTGGAGTCTGTATCCGATTCCATCCCCGTATTCCAGGCGGCAGGAGTCATTGTGGAGTTGATCAAGTCCAAGAAGATGGCAGGCCGTGCCGTCCTGTTGGCCGGTCCCCCGGGCACTGGAAAGACAGCCCTGGCCCTTGCCATAGCCCAGGAGCTGGGCAGCAAGGTCCCGTTTTGTCCCATGGTGGGCAGCGAGGTGTTCTCTACCGAGATCAAGAAGACAGAGGTGCTGATGGAGAATTTCCGACGGGCCATCGGTAAGGCGCTGCACCGCAGTCGGGGCTCTAAAATAAGCAAGCGTGCATTGCCAAAGATGAGCTTTCAAGTTCATTCCTTAATTAAAATGCACAAAAATTTGCTTTTTTTAAGTTTAGTTAATTGGACTCGTGATGTACATGTATACATGTTACTGCAGCTTTTCAGATTCTGTCACAAGTGAATGGATCTTTTAGAAGTGTTCGAGGAATAACACGTTTAAATTTCAAAAGGTTTTGTGCAGTGCTCATAGAAGAAGTACTTGTACTTGGGGTCCACCGTGTAGCTTTGGTTTTCAAATGTGCTTCTCTGACAGTGATGTTACAGAATACATGTACATGTATGTTGACTTGATCAAGATTTTCAAAGTCATCTTGTTCTATGCCTTAAGTTTGAACACATTTCCTGAGCGAGAAAAGTATGAATTCACAAAAACTGTCTCCCTTCTGTTGACCTGGAATTTAATTAGTAATAATTGTAAACCAAGATATATTGTCAGAGTCATAACAAAATAATGTAATAGAGAGTGAAATTTGCAACTCCCAATTTCTTCATTCTCGTCTTTTCCTTTTTTTCCCTCACCCCTTTTGATAACAAAGTCCTGGTTATAACAAAGTAATTTGTCTGGTCCCTGCAACTTTGTCATAAGGAGAGTTGACTGGAGATGAGCAACCCTTTTGATTTCTCACTGGCATCACCAAAAGGGAGTTGATTTTGGCATGTAAATGAAATGCCTTGTTTGTCCATAAACAGGTCTTAGGATTAAAGAGGTGAAGGAAGTGTACGAAGGAGAAGTGACAGAACTGACGCCGTGCGAGACAGAAAACCCAATGGGAGGTAGAGTATGAGAACTGATCACGTCCACTGTTGCCAAACGCTGTTAGAGCCATAGGTTTTAACCGTACACATTTGGACACACTGCGAAGTGTGTCAAAGTTTAGGCAAAAACCGAATCTTGTCTTAAATTTGAGAGCGCTTTTCCATCGTTTAAGTCGAGGGTTCGGTCTGCTCATCATAACGATGGTGTAGCATTTGTTGTTCGGCAGACCGTCGTGTCCGACGATGTCAGTTGTGCAGTGTTCGCTGGTGGGCCCAGTTGTGGCGGACAAGCCCAATCTTAGAGGCGCCATGACAAAACAACATACGACAGAATAGTTTCAGACATACACTTGAAGATAAAGAGGACGCTCAGCATTTGCATCGCTCAAGGCTAGCCTACCTTAGTTGGCCACGTCCAGGATGTTGCTGGTTATCAAGACCTGAACCACATCACAGCCAACCAGACCAGTGTGGTCAAATCTGTGTGGTCAATATCTTGCCTGGCCCTCCCTTCATTTTTCTGCATTTTCATACATGCTGTTTTCAACTTAACACTTGGGGGGAGGGGAAACCTTAGTTGGGAGGCAGCGTATCTCCTCTGTACCTCGCGTGTCCAATACTTTCCTTTGAATTGGCACAAACATTTCTTAATTTAGGGGCCAAGTTCGGATGACTTTTGTGGGAGCAGACAATGTGTTTGAGTGGTCTGCATTCATTTTGGCTGGCCTCTAGCCAATGGACTGGTATAATGTTTGGTCCCCAGTCGGCACAAACAGCGCTCACCTCTCTTTAAACCCTGAATCCGGCTCACTTTTTCCAGGCTACGGGAAGACGGTCAGCCACGTCATCATCGGCCTGAAAACGGCCAAGGGCACCAAGCAGCTTAAGCTGGATCCTTCCATCTACGAGAGTTTGCAGAAGGAGAAGGTGGAGGTGGGGGATGTCATCTACATCGAGGCCAACAGCGGCGCCGTCAAGGTTGGTCCAGTCTGCCAAATCCTCGCTCTGCCCGACTGCTGATTTCCCTTGCAACAAACTTGATCAGCTTGTAAAATCCTCCATTTCTGATTGGTTCAGCACAACTTGCACTGCCTCGAGTGATTGTGTGACTTGCGCCATAACTTACTGCACAGGTCACAAACTTACACAGTGCATAACTTTCGCGACATGGTATGGTTTGTTGTGCAACCTATGCAGGAGAAAATTGAGTTATCTCAGTGCTTAACCCTAACCGCCAAGCATGTTGTTTGGCTTACAGTACTCAGTACTACAAAATACTAAGTAATAGCCTGAACCTGAAGGACCCAGGGCTACAAATTACTTCCTGTACTTCTGGCTAGGGTTACTTCCATTGTTACTCATACAGAGAACAATAAAGCCGTGCCAGAGCACCGTATGGTGCACTGTCTTTTCTATTGTATTTTATGGCTTCAGAGAACAGTACGGTCATGTCCTCTTACAAAAAGGCAGCACTGATTACTATATTTTACTACAAGTAGTAATTTGTAGTATTATGTAGGGTTAGGGTTAAAGTTCACGAAATTGGCTCATGTGCATTCAATTTAGAGGATGATATTGCTTTTTGACTACCTGTTTATTAATGTTAATTTGTCCATCCCTCATCCATCATTTGCAATCTCCAGAGACAAGGGCGGTCTGACACATATGCCACAGAGTTTGATCTGGAGGCGGAGGAGTACGTCCCCCTGCCCAAGGGAGACGTCCACAAGAAGAAAGAAATTATCCAGGACGTGACCTTACACGACCTGGATGTTGCCAATGCCAGACCGCAGGTAAAAGAAAAGAGGTCTTTGCGAGTAAGGCCTTTCCAGATTTACAATTGGGCCAGCAGGCGAGTGACATGCAAATGTCTGTTGAAACCTGGCCCATTCATAAGTTAGGTGTACGCACATATGAAGCAAAATGGACGTTATATTGGCTGCGGTTGAACTTCTGCAAAATGGTAGTGTAGATGTCTGTACCACTGAATTCAAATATTTGCTCTGCTGGCCTGAGAGCTTTATACCTCAGTGTTGCAAGCTGTCACACTTGTCTTGGAGAGAGAAGTTAACTGGATAGAAGGCCTAACCGTTTCTTTCAATTGTTTGGTGCCAAAAAATCTACAGTTTGCCTTGTAAGTGTGGACAGACTTGCAAGTAAACTCTCCTGCTAAAATCTTTTTAACGCCAAATGAAGATGTGGCCCTGTTAAGCATTGCAATTCAGGTAAGCCTCAGCTCTATCCGTTGTCCTTTATTACTTTTTTTATACGTCTGGCTTTATTCTCAGGGCGGGCAGGACATCATGTCCATGATGGGACAGCTGATGAAGCCCAAGAAGACAGAGATCACTGACAAGCTGAGAAAAGAGATCAACAAGGTTGTCAACAAGTACATCGACCAGGTGAGACTCCCTGGAGGTAGTCGGGGAAAAAACATAGCTGCTGTTGTTTCTTCTGCTGACTGCTTTCTTGACACAGGCCAGTGAGGGCAGGTTGTTTTTTTGGGGGGAGGGGAGGAATTTGGATTGAAAATACAATCCATCGTGTCTGTCCTGAATCATGATGACCGACACGATTTACTGGTGTGCAGGTAAAATTCAAAGTCTCAATTTGACAACCACGTAGCAAGGTTTACGGCATGCCTAAGGACAGTCTAAATGTTTCTGATGAAGTGTGTACCAGTTTGCAGTGCATGGTCCTGTCTGGCTGACCTTGGACCATTTCTGCCAGAATTGGTCTCATCACTGGTCATCACACCTGCTTTCACTCAGCTGGTGGAGTGGATGTAAGGCATAGATTTTGGGACGAGGGCTTTGCACGGTGAAAATGGATGTGAACCCCCCTGCGTAAATGGGCATTCAAGCACAAGCTTCTCCCAAGAGTGAAACTCACTCAAGTGACTATTTTGATCAATTTTGTATCCCCTGCCTGCGTGAAGCAAGACTGACTGGCTCTGACTGTCGGTGTAACTTGATGTAGCCGTGCGTAGACTGTTTGTTGTTGGATGAGCCAGCCTTGTCCAATCGCCTGACTTTCTCTGTTGAGTTGCACCCGACCAGTCACAGTACCGTGATCTGACTTTACAGGACTGGCCTGAGTTGAATTTTTGACGGTCATTACTGCAACCATAGAAGGGTTTTAATCCATTAGGTACACCACTTCACAGGGTTGAATCTCCATTTGAGACTTTTGTGTTTGAGCAAATTCCTTTTCCCCACAGGGTGTGGCTGAGCTTGTCCCGGGCGTGCTCTTCGTGGACGAGGTTCACATGTTGGACATCGAGACGTTCACCTACTTGCACAGGGCTCTGGAGTCTTCCCTCTCCCCCATCGTAATCTTTGCCACCAACAGAGGCAAATGCACCATCAGGTAAACCAAACAGGATCACATTATTCCTTCATCTCCGGAATTCAAATCTGTTGCACTACCAGAGTGATTTCTGGAAGCCTCCAAAAGCTGGCTTTTGACCTAGTGCAGATATGTCGTTTAAATATTAAAAAAAAGTCCAGACTTATTTCAGAATTACTTTAGAGCCTTTTCTGTCGATGCTGTGACTGCAGCGGCACCACCTCACGCTGCAGGTGCTGCTCAATTTATGAGGCACACACAGTCTGTCGAGTCACAATACCCTGATGCTCACAGAGGCATTTCATGCATACCTGAGACACGTGTGCCACCCAACTCTAGGGTCAGGATCAGTCTACAACGCGACCCACTCACATTGCAGTCCATTCCATCACAATTCAATCGCACCTAACAACGATGAGCTTGGAGTGACCCGATTGCAACACGGCCCGTACCCAGACCTCACCAAGATCCAGCGCCAAGAAAGTGAAGGTTTGAGGCAGTAAAAAGGCTCTTGTAAATCTTTTCTTTTTTGCCACCTTCACCATGAAAAGCTTCAAAAATCAAGATTAAGTGTATAGGGAGGGAGTTCTGAATCAACTCACAAGCTCCGCCCGCTCTTGTCTTCCCAGGGGTACAGAGGACGTGGTGGCCCCCCACGGCATCCCCTTGGACTTGCTGGACAGAGTCATGATCATCCGGACCCTGCCGTACTCCCAGGAAGAAATGATGCAGGTATGCCACTAAAATACCAGGCTCGGAAGTGGTTGGGTACCAGACTGCATCGACACCCACAACACATGTAGAATGTTTCAGCATGCACACTCCTATGAATAGACTGCTTTGGGAGTGTTTGCTGAGGTCCAGATATTGAATGGTCATTTATTTTTGTTGTTTTTTCACTAGCGCACAAATTGTATGCCAGGGAGGGAATAAGTATGCATTTGTTGAAAATATGAAAAAGAACGGTAACAAATCTCTTTTTTTTAACTTTGTACACTTTTCCTAGAAAAAAGTAGCTTTGTACATATAAAAATGACGAAAATGGATCACCATATTATATTATAATTGTGTTCGGTCTGGATCTCTTCCTCTCCTGTCCCATGTTGTCCACACAAGCCTGTCCACTCTTCGTATTCTTGTTCTGAGTCAGCTATTGAACAGGGCCGTTGTTTTTCTACAGATCTTGAAGATCAGAGCCGAGACAGAGAGCCTTCTCATCGAAGACGAATCCCTCAAAAAGTTGGCAGAAATTGGCACCCGGACGACGTTAAGGTACAGTTTAGTTGCTCCAAATTCCTGGACTGTCTTGTGGGCTTGGTACAAACTCCCACTGTTGAAGAGATTTGAAATACTTGGGAAAAATCACGGGTTTGTGATTTGAAAGAATTAGAGAATCATGAATTACTGCACAATTGCGTGTGGGTAATTCTTGTGCATTAGTCAACATTATGTACATTAAAACAGCTATATCCATGGAAGCAAGTTTTATAAACTTATCAAAATGAAATTTGAAGTTGGGTGAAGAAAATGTCTCATTCTCTTTTGCCAGGGATAAATGTGGGCATATTGGTCTCAAAAAAAGCATTGGTGGTGAAAATTTGTGTTCGGTTTGTGATCTAATATGTATGGATTGACTTTGCAGATTTACTGCATGCAAGACACCAGTGAATTTTAGCTCAACGAAACCGTTTTAAGATTAGCAAATTGTTCCAATCGATATAAAGTTCATCAGTTCTTCCAAGATGCTTCCAAAGCTCACGGCCCTTATTCAGTTTAAATCATTTGAAATGCTTGGTTGAAATTGAAGTTGACATATCTGTCTCAGATATGCTGCCCAGCTGCTAACGCCCTGCAGCATCCTAGCCCGCATCAACGGCAAGGAGACCATCGGCACGGAGGAGATTGAGGAGATCAGTGGGTTGTTCTACGACGCCAAGTCCTCGGCCAAGATCCTGGCTGAAGGCGGAGACAAGTACATGAAGTGAATCGGGCCCGGGCGTTGAGACCTCAGTCCCTGTGCCGACCCGACCAGCCGTCGACATCCCGTTGACTGTCGGCAAAGCTCCAAAACAACCCTGGAGAAATTCCTTCTCAATCTTTGCAGACAGATTAGTACACGCTGTGGTTTCTGTGTTTTTTCCCTCCCAAACATTTGATGCATTTATTCTTTCTCTTTCAGGGAATCAATTTCTGTGGGAGAAACCTTATTTGAGTTATTTCTTTCATATTGTAGATAGCCTGTTGGCACCATACATGCGTGGGAAGTTTTCCTGTTTACACAAACCTGAAATGTCAAGCAAAAATGTCACGAGACGAATCTGCCAACATTGTCACTGGACATTCTCGATGGCCCCCTTCGAAAGTGGAAAGCATTGCTTGGTTTTCTTTGAACTGGCTTGCAGTATATGCCACCTGCAAATTAGTACATGCTGCCAGTGATGGGAGAGGGTCATAGGCGATGTCCAGCGACAACCTAACCCTAACCACCGGATTCAGCTGGACATCCTTGGATGTCATTCATTTTTTTGAACGCGTGCCCTGATTTCCTTCAATATTTTTTTGTATTAACCGTGAATAAAAACCTCAACCTCGTCCAAACCACAGACAACATTTCTAGATTGAAGCTTGAGTCATTTTAGCTGGATGGTCTTAACTCGAGGGACATTTACGAAGTCAAAGTTTGGAAAATCTACCACAATTTGAAGGTGAACTCTCTTGAAAACAAGGGTGTTATGTTGTATAAATCATGATTGATAAAAGTTGATTTTTTTTTTTATTTGAGCATTGTACAGTTACCAAATAATGACTGAAATCATCCAATCACAGTTTCCGGAAAAGATTTACATGTTTATTCGTGTAACACTGATACGAAGTACAAAAGCAAGAATGGTTGAAGTACACGCATGCTTCAAGTTGTGTGTAGAATGAACTTCAGTTTTCACGTTTGTTTTATGTGGTTATGTTTTTTTTTTTTAATAAAATCAAGTATAAAATGTGACACGGATTTGACTTGTTGGAGATTTCTTTAGCAAAGCCAGATACTATAAACCGTACACAAAAAACCAAGATTTATATAGACTGAGTTTTTTTCCCGTTCCAACGATTTTAATTCAAGAAATTGGTTTTTAAGATCTGCCAACTGACACGCTGCAGTCACGCTGCCGGGCAGTCAATGTCTTGTTTAGTATAACAAGATGACATACATTATGCTGTGATTTCACGGATGGGCAAAAAACGGGTTCCCCTCCCAGAACAATTCTGGAGTACGGGGTGGTTTGAAGCAAGTCAATGAGAAACCTTGAAAAAATGCAAGGTCGCCCTCCTCATTGGACTTCATGGTATTAATCATCACGATATATACACAGTACGGAAATTTCAGTATAAAAGTGATTCCTTGCTCTATTTTCTGAAAGATGACACTTGTCAGGGGTGTAACGATACCACAGTAAATGTATGAAAATGTGGCAATGCGAGGTGGTGGTTGGGGGGGGATGCTCTGTGATGTAAAGTTTTGTATTGCAGCTACTGGCAAGAAATGGTTTTGGGCACAGGGAAATGAGCATTTTCTTCTACATAAAACCCAATTGAACATGGGTGGAAAAACAAAATCCACCATGTTTCTTACATGTACATGAAGCACAAAACATGAGCAACTCATAAATGACTTCAAAATGATATATACCTGTACTCGGCTCGAAATTGTGCTAATCATCACATGAGCAAGTACTTGCTCCCTTAAGACAGCTGAATTTGTCAGTTTATGGGAGCAAGTAGCTCCCATACAATATTAAAGACATATGTTCAAGAAAACAAAAAAAGACCCTGGTCCTTGCTGTTGCTTTCGTGCTAAGCGATGCCAACAGTCAGGTGCTGGGCCTTTATAACGTGCATATGCACACAAACGTCCATGTAAAAAGGGACAGCAATTGAGCATTTTCGAGATGAGTGGATTAGGCTGAGACTTAATTCACTGGTTCCAGCTACTTTGGAGCATTCAAAACCACATGTTCTCCTCTGACTGGAACCAGAGAAACTGAAGTCTAAGCCGAATCCGCTCGTTTGGCTTGAATTTACGCACGAGTCTAGGAGGTTATGGTTGCGGCCAGTTTTAAAACAATCGTGCATAAATTCCAGCCGTATTGTTTCAGACACGGCCACTGTGCTGACTATTCAGCGAGATTGTGACACTGGCCGCGGGTATGTGTGTGTACATTCATGTAAGGGCATGCATCGCATGTGAGACTGCGGCGTGCACTCGGTGACGTCGAAAAAAAAATGTACCGTGTTATGGTTCCGTGACAAGGCTGATCCAAAGTGAAGTCAAAAAGTTCAGGTATTTTTCATGACAAAAAGTAGAAATGAACAGTGAAAATGTTCAGGTACATGTATTTTTCACTACAATAATGAAATCAAATGGGCGTAAGCACCTGCGCCCGTCTTTATGATTTACGGGCGCATTTCTGAGACAAATGGGCACATTTTAGCTACCTCGCCCGTTCATTTTGAGCCCTGCTGTAGGTTGCCACATGACGCAATCAAACAAAAGCAGTCCACTCTGACCTCATTGTGACAGAAGATCTTACGTGAGAAACTGGTCATTTTTATACACTCCATACTCTTGACCCCACAGCACATTCCCATCCGTTCCAATTCAACAGAAATTCACTTGCATCCCTCCCTAAATGTTACAACTACATAAAACATGTATTAACCACTGAAGATTTACAAATAAATAAGAGCTATTTCAAAGTTTGGATATAAACAAACTAGTCTGGAGATCTTGCACAAAGTGTGCATGAAAGCGGGCACCATCTTTGAAAGAAATACATATATCTAGACTTGTGAAGGCAGAACTTAGCGTATTCTTTGGATTACAAAAATTGTGTTGTTACTTTTTTAAAAGAAAAAAATGCCTTCAGGGTTCAGTGGACATATATTAACATTGCAAATAAATTAATCATTTTTACTTTCGACTGATCAAGCCATAATTCCATCTCATTCAAGCTTGTTATTAGCAATGCGTTTATAAAGAAAAACTTTACAGTATCCATGCTCCATGGCATTCCTGTGATGTGCACTGCAATAGAAGCATTTGTGACAAGGAAACTGGTGCTGGGGCCCTGCAGCCTAGCTGTCCTTGCCCTGAGGGGATCAGTTTCTTTGGTTAATAAAGTTGGGACCATGTTGCAGGGACAAAAATCTGTCCCCTTTAATGAATATGTCATTCAATACATGCAGACGTAGCCCCAGAACTACGGCGCCAGTACGTGCAAGGTAGCACTGTGTGGAGTACCTGTGAGAGCTAGGAGAATAATCACATCCCTCTAGTTCATGAGCATGTCAACACTGGTGATGTGTGACCAGTTTTCGACTGAATGCGCACAATAATATTTTTTGTCTTGCATAACAGAACATCCCTCAGCCCAGTTTCATGTGTGCTGAACGAAAACAGGTAACCAACCACAGTGCCATGCACAGTATACTATATTCCTTGCAACTGGTTCTCTGCTGCTTTTTGGCATGGCACACGTATTTGCCTAGCTATTTGGTCCAGCTCAGTGTTGGTACAGGCATTCTTCAGTGCCTACATCATAGCATGTCGGTTGTTTGTTTCTACTCATTATTTAGAGTGACTTGGTGTAAGCTGATTGAAGCTGATACAACTGTCGTTCATAGGAAAGTTGCTGTTCACTTGTGAAAGTGCACCACCTCTATGGTTCAATTCTGTCGGCTGTTTTTGCCCAGGAGATGAGAGAGTGGAACTTCATGCCTGGTTGCAAGTCGTTAAAAGGATAAAGATGACTTCAAGTTCAACTGTTTTGTCTGCATGTGAAGATCACATCTGTGAAGTTCTGGGTCACTGGCAGTACCAGAGACATTTTACGCAGATGAGACCTGCTCTCCGATGTAAGAAATATGACCCTAGGCTATGGCTTGCCAACAATCCATCTCACTGAGAAAGAAGTCAACGTCTGCACTAAAAAAAAATTGAAAACACATCAAAAATGTCTCACAGCTTTATGGTAATCTTGCAGAGATAATTCCAATTTTCAACTGAAGTAGATTCCTCCCGGTCTGGGTCTTTAACTTCTTGTACCTCTTCCTCGGTCTTCCTTGACTTAATTAAGTACACGTGTATCACCAGAACAACCCCCACAAATAATTACTTTTTGCTGCACAATTCTTCACAGAAATCCCTCTGCAAGGATTATTTTTTTTTTTAAATGATCTCTTCGGCAACACTGAAGTGCATGAAAATGCTCCAGAATGTCAAATGTATTAAGTCTGGGCACGTTAGTACTACTTCATCTGGTTGTCGGCTGGACACTGAGCGGATGTATTGGGTCCGCGCACCCCCAATGCGGAGGACGCAATGCCAGTCACAGGTGCTTGTCGGTGGTGAGAATGGAGAGCCTCCGGTACACATGCAAGGGCTGCTGATTCAGATGTTGAGGCTGGACAAGTGGAGTACTGCACAAACTTGGTCTCAGTAATCAAAAAACTGCCAACTTATCCTTTGTCTGGTGTCAGATACTGAGCCCGTATGCAATCAGCGGATGTGCTGTTCCACGTAGTCAAACCTCAGAATCCGCTGATTCCTGTTCAGTGATTCGTACTTGTTCAACAGAAGTGGACCTAAGATTGACACTCGTCTGAGCCTCTTGAAATTCCACTCGTCAGTCGGACTCCACAGTCACAATTGCACTTTCCTCCGCGGCTCGACTGCTGGCTGGCACGTCTACTCTGCCGGCATTCCTGACCGGCTCGCTGTCGAGTAGGTTATTCAAAGTCAATGGAATGTTGGCATCCGTACGTGTGGACTGCTTTGGCAACAAAAGGGCGGGAGATGGTGTGACAGGCGTCGTGACAGACGGTGGTACAGACATGGGAGCAGGCAGCCGGGGGCCGAGCATGCCTATGGCTGCATATGGCACTGTGCCGGCCACCAGTGGAGTATTTTGCGGTGACAGCAGTCTGCTGTTGGCAGGCATAACGGATGCAAGCCGGCCAGTTGAGGACAGAACGGATGCTGTCGTAGGTATGTTGACCAATGATGAGCTGGTACCAAGACTGGCGGGATGGGGTCTAGAATCTCTCGGCGATGATGACCCCTGGGGAGCGTTCTGTGGAACCTCTCCCAAGGCCAAGCTGTTCAGAGACTGCAGGCTTTGGGGATATCCCAGCTGATGGGCTGGGCCTAAAGCACTGCTGGGGGAGGTAAACTGTATCTGCTGGGGAATGTCCCCAAAGTCAGCACAGTCATTCTTGTCTATCTGATGCTGTAAGCTTGGTTTGTTTGCATTGGAACTGTCTCCCTCCTGTGACAGTTTATCGTCGCCGGATTCTGCAGAGACGGGTAGTGTGTCGCTGATCCCACCGCTGCCACCGCCACTCGGCATTCCTCCCATGCTGTTGGTGCCGCCCCAGTTGGACTCATTCTTTCCCAACGCCACCGCAGCATACTGTCCAAAGGTGGGCATGCCTGGCAGCGCCTTGCCGGTTTGGGCCCCACTGGGCCCTCGCACGGCCAGGATCCGCCCATCGGTGGTGCGCAGGTACAAGCCTTTTTGGGTCTTGATGAAGGTGACTGTCTGGCCAGCTTTGATGACAGGACTGGGAGTGTGAGTGTTGACACCAGGCAAGACGATATCTGCCACATGCCAAAATAAAAGAATAAAAAATCAATGTCAGCATTAATGATCCCATGTAATGGATTGAAAATATGGCTGCGTCCGAAATACTTAGCTACGGCTTGGAATGTTTCTGTACCCGACAACATCTGACAACTAACTCTAACACTCCCAAACCCTCCGATTTTATTCTGATTTTACACACACCCTTGGGGGTCTAATCCAAACATTTCCTTGCTCGTTTGCCATACTTAAAGGGGAAAAGAAGTAGTCTAAAGTGTTGATCTCTGGCACAATCCATGTACTCCAATGGTGTATATCGGAAGCTACAGTAAGAAGGAGGTGAGAAAAAAGTACTTTTTGTGACTCTTTCCAAGGGACTGAAGTTAGATTGCCGAATGAATCCTTAAGCAAGTTGGAATTGACCGACATCACGACTTTGAGAGATCTATGAAGCAGCAGTGTGAGGCTCTGATCATCTTTCTGTGTAAGGTCCAAGGGATGAGGAGAGGCCCACTTGAAGACTTGTTGAAACCCGTTTTGCAAGTAAGTTTCAAAAGAGAACCCTCTCTTGCAGATGCAGATCGTCTTTAGAATCACAAACACAGGCCTATGACAAGTAAACTGTTGTAAATAAAAGGAGTATCCCAGTGGCTACGGCTAAACATAACACTGTGAGCTTGTGGAAGCTGCTACCAAAAGGCTGTCAGCAATTCCCAATTTATCTGTGTGTGATTGCCAGCCATAGCCCCTCAAAATTGACATGTCGTATGTGCAAATATCAAGTGGGCCCCAAATACTGATCACACGGAAAATGGTAGGACTCTTTCTGATGAGGACGCTTCGAGGGCAGAAGTAAAAAAAAAATCTGCCCGTGACAGAGGTGCGACCATACCAGTTGTAGCCACGATCTTCTGCATGGAGACTCCAGCCTGCTGCAGTTCGGCAAGCCTCTGCTGGTGGCTGGATGGGATTAAGCCTGGGTGGAACCGCGGGACGGGCGTGGACTGCATGGGGTGGATGCCGGTGATGGGTCGGCTGAAGAACTGGGGTGGGCCCCGGCCGGCCAAACTGAGTGAAGTCAGGGGAAAAAAAGATTGATTATGTTATGGTTGGCGGGGGGGCAGATTCCCCTTAGAACTCAGCTCTTAAGTGTCCGATCGTTGTGAAACTACACATGCGTGTACATGTACATGACTCATCATCAGAACAAATGTGAAGTTTCGATTCAGCATGACACAGACTTTTGTTGACGTCATTCTAAGTTTATGACCTCAAACCTTTCAGCCCTTGTGCATTGAATACGCCATAGAAAAAGAGTGGATTTTGGCTGAGCCATCTTGGAAAAATACAGGTTGCGCGAGAACGGCACTTTCAATTTTCACAAAATTGCTATCTAAATGTCAACAAGAAAAAGCTCCTTAACTCTCTGTGCATGAAGAACGTGATGTACTGGGCTGATACCGGAGAGAATGTCGGGAAGAGAAGGAAGGATTCCTGCTCTTTTTGGGGTTTCACTGAAATGACGCTCACCTGTAAGTCGACTGGACGACACTGCCCCCTCTAGACGAGACACTGCTGTTTGACGCGCTGCCATCCTTGGGATAGAAGGCGGTGTAGGAGGGGCGGGAGTAGGACACCCTCAGCCTCTTCTCCTCCTCGTAGCCCTTCTTGGCCATGCGCTTCTCGGCACGGGTCAGCTTCTTGTCCTTCCGATCCCAGATGAGCGACTCGGTGGAGAAGGGCGCCTGGGATGGACAGGATCAGTGATCAACGTTCTGGGCAGAACCTCAGTGCATCATGGGGACATTTTCTACAGTTAGGTGAGATAAGGGGACTGTCTGCTGTCCCCACAATGTTTTTGGTCACCCTAAAACTGGGTGTAATGATGCGTGTATGACCTCACAACTATGAAAAAAGGGTGCTTCCCTCACACAGAGCTCAATGTACCGTATTTCAAGTTAAACCAGTCAAAACAGAGATATGGTTACTGCTAAAAGCATACTGGGAGACTGGTTGAGCAACAGACTCTGTGCGGTGGAACATACTTTCCAACAGCTCCGCAGGGCATCTTATTCCCCAGAGGGCACCTTCATTCTGAACAGAAAGTCACAATTCCCAACATCCTTTCTCAATTCTGCACAGGGTATCCCAATTCCAGAGGAAGTCCCAGTTCTCAAGAGGATGTTCCACTCCCAAACAAGGCATCCAAATGCCTAATGATGTGTCTTGTTCCTCTTCCAAGCAAGGTCCAAAATGCACCTTGAGAAACCTCTTGTAAAGTTATTTCTGGATAAACAAACTCGAAGGGTATAGACCTCGCAAGGAAGCCATTTTTGATCAAGTTCCCTGAATCTTATTCACTGTAATCTGTTAACTGGAGTGGTGCCAGAGTGTTTGGGGTTCCATGCCTCACTTTCATTTTTTTGAAAGTTTATGAAACTAATAATATGCAATAAAGTTTCATTTAACTGCGTTCATTTTTATTCTTAGGCAACCAAAACAGAAATAAATAATCCCACTTTCAATTCAATATGGCCAATTTACGGATAAGGTCAATTTACGCCTTTCCAAACTGCTGACTCTGGCAAAACTATAAATTCTTCTTAAATTCTCAAATACATCCCAATGCACACAAAGTGTTGACTGAACAGGTGTTCACCTTGCTGAGGAAATTGCTGTACTCGTTGCAAATGTTGGCCAGCATGCGGTCCCCGTACTTGGAGGCCACGTTGCTGAAGTCTTCGTAGGGGGTGTCGTCAGCGTCGGCGTCAAACTCCAGCAGTGACTCTACCTCCTTCTTGGTGAGGTTCATCTCGGGGTTCAGCTCGTCCACTACACGGTCTGAAATGTTCATAGGCAAAAAATTTCAGGAGTTTCTCCTGCAGAAGAGGAGCGTTTAATGTAAATTTACTGGTGACTGTGTCAAGTTAAAAAATGATAACTGAGGGAAACGATGGACACCTTTGCACTCATCAGTTTGGATCCTGAATTCATGACACGATATTGGATTTTAGAACATTAAGTAATACAATCTTCGGTTACTCAAAAATACACAAAAAAATATTCAGACCTTAACCCTAACCCCTAGGCTGTGTGTGAAATCGTATTAAAATTCAAGGATTAGAACTGTTAAATTAAAAAAGATAAAATGATTACTGTTGAAAATCCCTGAGGACAAAAATAACACCAAAACAAAGAGCAAAAGTGCGGCTGGCTAACCAAAAAACGTGATTTATTAAAAATTAAAACCACATAATTTCCACAAATGATAAAGTATCAACCAGCTGCCCAGATGCTGGACTAAGAATTCAACCGGTTCAACAAAGATTCTCTTTAATTAAAACAGAACTGTTGTCAAGTTCACGAGTGGCTGACCAAACAGAAGAGAAGTTTAAACAAGATGACGCCCACTATCAGTTCCTCATGCAGTGCTGTGCAATTTAAGTCTACCACCAGAGTATCACATTGGATATGGCTTTTCTATGGGTGCCAGAGTCTGGACACCAGACTCGGAATAACAAACTGGCCAATCGTACCTGACATGCCCTTCTTGCTGATCTGCCGATCGTAGATCTTCTTCTCCAGCGTGTTGTCGGTCACCATGCGGTAGACATGGCACTGCTTTGTCTGGCCGTAGCGGTAGACGCGGCACACCGCCTGGGCGTCGTGGCAGGGGTTCCAGGAGGCGTCCATGACGATGACGCGGTTGGCGCCGATCAGGTTGATCCCGAGGCAGCCGGCCCTGCAAGGGAAACAACATGCACCTTTGTTACGCCACGTCTGGGAAGGTTTGTTTGTCACCGGTCAAGACTGGCTGAGACTTGGCTGAAAAATGTCAGGTATGAAGCTGAGCAAAAAAGCCAAAACCCTTCAAGACTTCTTAATTTTATTCTGCACAAAATTCATTATGATACGACACTCAGTCAGTAAACCAGCAGCTTTCCCATCATGTCAGTGCAACTGAATCCCTTAACCACTTGCTGCTTGGCACTTTTGAAAATGCAGTGCACAATATGGGAGACTTTCAAGATTGTTAGTTTTTAAAATTCTTCACAAAAATTCATCATTTCATTTAATGGACATTTACACCCACACAAGTGACTGTTTGATGGCTACTCTAAGCTGACAGGCAACCTTCATTGACTCCTGAGTATTTCAGACAGGCCTGCCGCCCTATAAAGAGAGTCCAGAATTGTGAGGTGTTGCATAATTTCCTTTGTCTCCAGTGAATGTGAATGGCGTCTTTTCAAATGTGGCTGGATAAGCACGCAGTGGTGCTGTGTCACTCATCAATGGGGCCCTGGAACAATTTTGTCTGCTGTGCTAATCCGTGGGCACACTATGCCCAAAACAGTGGTATACTGTTTAAAAACAGTGATGGATTACCTTCGAAAAATGCAAGCCGAAAAATGGTGGCAATTCCCAGCAGCAGGTCTTTTGTCACATGGACTAGCGCTTTTGTCCCATTTCAGGCACCCCGGCTCTGCATATAAACCCATGGTGCTCGAAACGGGTTCAGCAAGTGGTTTTTTCAGTAACTTTGTTTCAGTTTGCATAAGAAAGATTAAACTGACCTCTTTGTACTGATGTTTCTCTCCACTTGGCCTCCTGACGAAAGTAGGCCCAATGTGGGTTAACAAGTTGAAAGTTCCTACCGATTTGCAATGTGCAAGATTTTTCAGTGGCCTTGATAACTTGGGACTGATTTAATGGCTTGCATGGTACATTGTGGTTCATTCGTGTGACGCTGAAGACAAGAAGTCACAAAGGGAGTTGCTAAAAACAACCTCACCTTGTTGACAGCAGGAAGAGCCAAACATGTCTGTTGTTGTCATCGTTGAATTGATTGATCATCTTCTCACGGTCAGATGCTGGTGTGCTGCCATCCAGGCCTGGCAGAAAATCAACCAATCAAATGCTAGTGGTAACAATTTTGAAGCAGATATGCATCTCAAAAGGTTCATTAGGCCTGCAAATCAGTGGGAGCCTTGTTGAATTCGGCGGTCAACAACAGCAGCTAAAGAAACTCGAAGTTTTGAAACAGAAGCATTCAGTCCCAGTGGATAATGCCCTCATTGGCTCCTTTGGTGGCGGGCAGGTTTGGAACTCAGAGAGTGTTTAATTTGGGGACTGTTCAACTCTTGGATCTTGTTGAACCGAGAAGACTTCCCACTTTCAAATATGCTTTGCCATTCAGTAGGGTGTGTGTGACAAGGCTGTTTTGTTACCGCATTGCGGGGACACTTTCTTTCCTTGGGAAAGTCAAACTGAGTTGTGGGGACAAAACTTTGTCCCCGTAACTTGTTTGGTCCCCTAACCGTCTATGTTTCAACACCTACGTTGCCCCCGTGCCTAGGGAAGTAGTACAAGTTTGTTTCTGCATTCTATCAGGGACACCAAACAACAGTGGACAACAGGACCCCTGCTACATTAGGCTCCCCGATGAGACAATTATGTGAAAATCTTGCGGGAGCCTTTCAAGAACAGTTTTGACGTCAAAACAAAAAGAGACCAATGAGACATCCGCTATTTGCAAGAAAATAAACATTCATGTACGCATGTGTGTGTGTGTGTGGGGGGGGGGAAATTCAGGATCACTCCCATTGTCAAACAGTTTTAACCACTTACGGAAGTAGGTCTTGTTGCGGACCCACTTTCCGTCGTGGTCGGGCGGGGGATCGGGCGGAGTGGGCATGGTCCTCTCGGCCAGGAACTGCTCGATTAGCGACAGCGTGCTCAGGCTCTGGCTGAAGACCAATAGCCGGTCACCCAGCTTGATGCAGCCCTCCAGGATCTCAAAGAGCAGCACCATCTTCCCGCCGTTGCACAGCTTGTTTGGCTGGTAGTTCTTCATTATGTCCCGTGCCTGGCAGACAGACGAAGAACGTTTAAATGGGGGCGACAGGAATACGTGTGCGGGTGATTAATGCAGATCATCGCGGTTGAAGGGGGTTGTGTTAACACCAATGCGCCACATCCATCCAAGACTTGTGTCTAGATGCTGACAGCAAAGTCAGAGCTCAATCAATGTACAATCAGGGTATGCACAGAAAGGCCTTGTTGATGTTGAAAGCATTCTGCCACCTACTTTAAACAAAAGGGGCCTGCCAATCACTATCCTAAGCAACAGCTGAAAGGTTTCTGCCACAACTCAGGAGCATTCGTGAGTGTGGACTTATTTTTGCAACCGATGTTGTCTCTACGTGGAAACCTGGGAATGGAGTCTGGTGCAAAACAGGCTTTTAGACTCACCCACTCAAACGAGATGATCTGGTTGACTTTCTCCTGGTACGACTGCTCAACGGCTGGCTCCGCAGTCAGACAGGGTTCCTCCTTCTTGGCTTCACAAGGAGCCTTTGTGGCGGTTCTCTTGCCTGTCTTGGAACTGTCCTTCTTACCTTTCTTGGAACACCTGCTGTGAGAAAAGAAAGGAGCTAGAAAAGCAACGGCTCCGTGCAATTATCCATAGACCAAAGAGATTTCAATTGAAATATACTGAACTAAAAAGCTTCAGAAAAATGACATCATCTGATTTACTGTGCGATAACACGTGATTGGCTACTTGAAAGGAAGGAAATTAGCGACAAATTGCTAAGGGCATTACCCATAGTCATTGTTTCAGCTGCATTACGGATCTCTCTCATTGGACGCATCTTTATAGGAAAATTGTAACTGTGTATCCAGTGCCAACCGGTGCGTGTGAGTGCAATGTGCAAACGTTTTAGACTTGAGTGCATGTTGATCCAAATACCCTACTCAAAAAAAGTTACGGACCACTTTTTTCTAAACTGGTAATTTTTCTCCAAGCAATGAGTGGAGTCTAGTTCTTTCATTTTTTGTTTGTCTAGATGGTGTTCTCATTGGAATAAAAAATTTTAAAAATGTGTCAGAACATCAAATGCACAGTTTCAGTAGTAAATATGTCATCTAAAAAAGTATACACAAAATAAAAAGTGGTCCTTAACTTGTTTTGAGAAGTGTATCTTTGAAATACGGCGCAGGTAATGTGCGTCACTACAAAATGCCAATGCATGTTGTAATCTGTAGAAGTCACTTGTGTAATATGCAAAGTGTGGAAAGAGATGCAGCAGACATCTGCACACCCATTTTCCATAAAACTTTTGAGGACAAATTTTGAACATGAATGAATATTGAAACACACAATTACACAAGCACATCTTTAAACAACTGAAAAAACACGGTGACGGTGAGCTTTCGGCCAGGTAAACTTGTTGAATTCGTCCTGGGACCAGTTCATCTCCCTACCTGGAGGATGTTTCGGGGAGATCTAAGTCAGTGTCCAGGTCAGCCATTTCGTCTCGCTTCTGCAAGACATCGCAGAGGATGTCCGGATGATTCCAAATCTGGAGGAGGATTACAGAGTTCCTGAATCAAAACTGTGGAAAGTTCAGGACAGCTTTGGCCTAGAGACCCACCTTTAGGCCAGGCAAGCGTAAAAATGACAAGGCAAAGAAAGCCAACGCTCGGTGAAGACAGCAGGGAACAACCGAAGAGCCATCCCGCAGCAGACTGCAACGACAGGGTCTTCAAGGGCGGGCTATAAGCAGTCGGCTTATAGCTACCTATCTCTCTTTACCCTTCTTGGATAAGACAACAAACTGAGCCCACTGCAATAAGCTGGTCTTTATTTAGCCTGCTACCGAGTTCAGTACGATTTACGAATTTACTGTGCACGTAAACTACATTGTGCTCACCAGCTTTTACAGGTTGCCTTACATAGACCGGCGTATCATAAAGTGCAATGCATCCGTCATGTTGATCCTAAGCGGTCCTTGGTGAAAAATTTCACAAAAAGTCTTTTTTGAAAAAGATAACATGTATTTTAAACATGAGTTTGAGCTTTAAATGTATTGGCCCAAAAATCCATTTTCATAAATAAAGTGAAAACAGCAGAATTCTAATTCAATAAGGTATTTCTTTCATGCCTAAAGTAAGGAAATTTTCAAAAATCGTATTTTTGCCATACTGACTGTCTAGCCGACAAATGTTATTTGCCTCGACACTGTCCAAATACATGCCATGGAAATTTGTATTCATCACACAACTTTATGTTGTTATATTTTTCATAAGGACTCCTTGTATTCTAAAATATCCTCTGTTAATGCAGTTTTTTTTACACTATTTAACTTCCATCCAGGCAACAAATTACTCAGTATCCAAAAGACTGACTGAAAACATTTTGTGCAAGCCCAAAGCTGGCGAAAAATATTTTAAGACCGGCTTAACACTTGGACCACTTCACTGCAACGGTCTAAACTTACAGACCAACTAACAGCAAACCCTTTGAGAGCGGCAAACACGTAAAGAGCGTTTCAAGACCAGTTACTGCAATCTGCCCCCTGAACCGTCATGGAAAAAGAAGGCAATCACTGAGCTTCATGTCAAAGAGGAGGTACGCACCTTACATCCGACGGAGAACGCCTTGAGTGGGTTGGCTGAGCACCATCCCCCGGCCCCCATCTCGGTGAAGGACTGCATGAACTTGATGTACAGGCCGCGCTGGAAGGGCGTCAGCCTGACCAGTAGCACGGTCTCGTTCTTGGGCGGGAGGGTGCTGTGCAGGACGGAAAAGCCGCGGCGCTGGACGAAACCCTCCAGGAGGCTGTACAGGACGTGGGCTCGGAAACGCATCAGTTGGACATCCTGCGCAGAACACAAGGAACGGTTCATGTAAAGGCACACATTCAAGTAACTTCTTCGAGGCAAGGACATTAAGGAGTCACAGCAGAAACGAGACCTTTGCGACAATATTTTGTGGTCCGAGTCCCATTTCATGATGATGAAGAGAAATTTAAGTGTCTGGACAAAAAGGTTCTGTGCGATAGTCCAGCATTGGGGAAAAGGGGGACTTGGGCTTGAAGTCCAAGTTCTTTCAGAAATATGCCCTCATTTCTTGCATACCCGTTGGCTGCGTGTAGAATCGTATTCTACAAGTGAGTCACTCTGAGAACTCATCAAACTCACTGCCACAAAGGATTGATTCCTGACACATGTACCACAATGCATTTCAGGAGTCTTGATGATTGAAAAAGGGCTCAAGTACACACCTACGGGCATTACTTCCCCTACATAACAGACATGGGATTAAATCAATCAATTGGTTGGAAGGCAGGTGAGCATAACCTTCAGACCTTTGGGGTCATCGCTTGCCCCAATTCTAACAAGAACCAATCAGGGTAACGGACTGTGTACGACTACATCCTTGGTGAAATAATGCTTGAAAGCTTGCATGGTGGATCTACAATAGATAGGTGGTTTGAGGAGACACCATGTGGACTGTCTCTTTTGTGAGTATGCGTGGTTCTGATAATCACAAGAGAGATAATCCACATGGTATCTCCACAACCCTCCTACCTACATCCTTGGTATTAACGAAACAGCCAGCAGCATCGATGGCATTGAATTCCACCCAAGGTTATATCCCTTGCGAGAAAACGCCGCAGGCTATTTGCTCAATCAAGAGAAAAACTGATTGCGTCCACCCCATGCATCTTCACCACTCAGTTTACGCTGCGACAACTGTTGGGAAGCACGCTGACTCTCAGTCCGCATTCCGGATGCGAGCCAAGCCGGCTATCGCTCACCTTGAACGTGCTGTCTATGCACTGGCCGTTCTGGATGGGCCTCTCGAACAGGTTGGCAAACTCGTGTCGCGTTCCCAGGAAGTTTGGCCGCACAAAGTCCACCATGCACCAGTACTCCTGTAGGTTGTTCTGCAGCGGGTACCCGGTCAGGACCACTCGTCGCCTGCAGTGAGGGGCAGATTTGTTTACGGCACATGACACACAAGAGGAATTGGTTTTGCACACAACAGGGACACAAATCCATTTCTAACCGTTTGGGTGAAAAACTTATATTTCGCGTACCATTTCTTCCTAAATAGAAAGCAAAGAACACATAATGCCATTTTTAACTTCAAGAGGGGAAATTTACAATGAAGTCGTGGAGGTGTTTCAGGAATATTGTAAATGGACATCGAAACTGAACACAAGGGTTAACATTCGGGTCGACTGAAGAAACGCCATTGCTTGTAATCAGGACTGTAAGACTTGTGCCCACGTACTGCATGCCACATACAACACATTACAATCGCACGCAGCTGCTTTCAGGTATTAGGCACAGATCTCGTAGGCATAACCCAATAGAAGACATTCTCGCACCACACAGGCATCATCCCGTACCTGGTTCGGATGTTCTTGAGTGCCTGGGAGATTCCTGCGTGGATGTTCTTGATCCGGTGCCCCTCGTCGCACACCACCAGGTCGGGTCCTGGCCGGCAGAGTGCCCGGTGTAAGCCCTCCGCCATCAGCAGGTTCCTGTCCTCCTCCTCCAGGTCGATGATCTCGGGTTCGCCGTTGCCGGCTGCTGTGGCCTGCTTCTTCTTCCGCTTGCTCGGCTTCTTCTTGCTGGCCAGGTGCTTTGAGAAGGAGGAGGAGCTTAAGGTTGAGGCGCCACGGAGACTGAGGAGACGGTACATCTCGTAGCCCATCAGGAGCACGCCGCCTGTCTTGTACCAGTTGGCTGTGATCAATACGAATACAAAAAAAAAAGAGATGAAAGACGCAGTACGCGGGAATTTTTCCGATCTGGAAAAAAAATCAGACACGCCGTCAGTTTTTCAGCTGCCGTATTTCAAGGTCACATGGGCTGTCACATGCTGGGTTGTCAGACTCTTTAAGTTAAGTCACTAGTCTTGCAACAGTTGCTGTGAGGATTTCATAGCGCAAACGTCTCAACATCAGATCTTGGTCAAATTTGTGGGAGGCAATGCATGACTCACTAATGATTTGGTGTCGTGCGTTCATCGTTCGATAGCTGTCGTTCATGAGATACAGCGAAAACTGTCTGTACATGGTGTCCTCTGTTATCTCGTCCCCATCAACTGGTGGGGAAGATTTTGATGTGGACGATGATGACGCTTGACCATTGCAGGACAAAGCGTCTTCATTCTCCAGCAACTTGTCCGGTGGAGTCGATGGGTCTCCCCGACTGTTGCCATCCCCTGGCCAGGGCATGCTCTCGCCCAATTCGGCATCTTGTGGCAATTTCAAGCCACTGTTTGAAGCGCCCTCGTCCGCTTTGGACCTCCGGACGGAACCTCTCTTCTTGCTCTTCATCTCATCTTCCACTGCCACACCATTGGAATGGCGTTCTGGCAACCACATGTCGAATTCTGCCACCCAGTTTTGTATTGTGTTGATGGGAACAATACACAAAACCTGCAAAGAGATGGAGACGTTGGTAATGTAGGAGCACTGCACAGAACATGTTTTTGATCAGTTAAGATCAGCCGACCCTGCTAAGCTCGGTGGTTGAGTGGTTATTAAGGCATCTGCACTAGTGAGCGGGAGATTGTGGGTTCGAGTCCCACTCACTTAAATTTGACAATTATTTTGCAAGCTCGTACAAACACTGAGTATCCAGTGTTATAAATATACATCAGTGTAGGGGCAAAACCTGTCATTAAAATTTTAAAATTAACATTTTCCCGACGCACAATACATCTTGTAAACTGTACCAAGAGATGGAAGTGTTTACGTTCAGTTCCCAAAGTAGTAGGCCTGTGCTCAGTTTCAATGTCTGGAAGTACTAAGCTACTAAGCATACGAGCATCAGGCTGAGCCCACATGGCTCTATTCTGTAAATGGCTAAAGCTCTTTGAAGCAGACTGTCCACAGTAACAATATCAAAGCCTTAGCCTGAAGTGTAGATTGAACGCAGCCTAAGGAATCCTCACAAAGGCAGTTAGGCAAGCTGAGTGAATGTTACAAAGTTCTCTTTGCAGCAATGATAAGGTTACTCGTCTGTCATTGGTCACAGTCTCATTGTCTGTTGGTCCTACGTTTTTTGGAGATTCTGGTCTTAAACAAAGTTGACAGTGCTGTCATCGTGGAAAGCTCTGAACGTGGCCAACGCATCAGACACGGCATCATTTCTTTAGGAGCCCTTCACAGGGGGCCGTCCTGTCGCCACTCACCGTCTTGGCCTCGGTGTGTCGCAGGAAGACGTCGATGAAGGCGATCATCTGGAGCGTCTTGCCCAGGCCCATGCTGTGGGCCAGGATGCAGCCAAAGCCCGGGGTCGTGCGGAACCTGGCCAGGGTCTCCACCAGGTTGTCGTACAGGAAACGGAGGCCTCCAATCTGAAACAAGATTAAAAAAAAATTAATAAATGAAGAGGAGCTAAATGTGTCAGGCATCGGCATGTGCACAGCTGTAGCTGAGTGTGTGTTCTCAGACAGTATCATGAGCGCTCAGGGCCACAGGTACCGCAACATTTCCAAATTGAATTTTTATTTTGCATTTGCTACATAATTTTGCAGCAAATACCTTTACTTTTCGTAACATCCTTCAGCATTATAATCGCATAATAGTTGATCTTGCACACACTCTTGGGCACGTGCTGTTGAAGTACCAAGCTGGCTCACTGCTCCCTTTACCGTAAGTTGTCCCCCCGTTTACTCTAACCCACCTGATGGGGCTTGATGTTTTTGGCAATCTGCGGTGGCAGGAAGATCTCCTCCTCATCCTGCGGCCTGTTGACGTTGACTAGCACCCGGCCGAAGATGTCCGGCTGGTTCAGGGCATCATTGGTGTGCATCCCGCCCACCTCTTCCATCTCCTCCCCCTCCTCGGCCTCGTCGTCATCGCTCAAAATGGTCACCGCATCGTCGTCGCTGGAAATCTCAATCACGTCTACACAGAGGAGAAAGGCGATTCATAGGAGGGCCATTCTGTAACTTTTGCCCCAAATCCCAAGACCCAAGCTCAGCTGACCACATCTATCCATCTGTACATACACTAAGGCTACCAAAACTGGGCCCAATTTTTATCTTTGTGCTACGCAACCTTGTTCAAAATTGCTTCAATAATGAGTCCTGAGCTGGACCAGGAGAGGGTACAATTTCCCTGGCAACGGAGGTCCCTTTGCATTTCACTAGTTCATAAATGACTATGAAATGTACGCATTAAGGGCACAGCCCTACCAGCAAAATGAACACTCTCGACCAACAAGGCTCTTTTCAACTGGTGAGGAGGTGCTTCTGCTCCAAGGCGGATAGCCTTAACAAATGTCCAAAGACAAGCTAGGTACATGTACCTCTTCAGTGGTGATAAGCAGCCAAATGATTATATATCAAAGTCTGTCCGACAAACCAATAGCTACCAGCCCAGAGTTAGTGTGCCTGTGGGAAATGATGCACGTGCTGCCCCGACGTAGCTGAACAGTACTTACAATTTGTCAATAAGGTCCTTACAAGAGTGCCGCCTTTCTCATTATCAAAATCAGAACAGTCAGGACAAAATTTTCTATGTAGAGAATATCACCATGATTCTGAATCTGAGACTTCCCAGTTTGTTTCTTCCCGAGTAACGAAAATAACTCCATTTAACATCTGGGTGTGTTTGAATTTCCCATCTGAAGGCATGAAGCCCAAAAAAATCCAATACAAAATTCTGAATCAAGAAATGGAACAAGAATAGCAGATTGAAGGATGAAAGGTTCAAGGACCCTCAAGATCACAAGTTGAGGGTGTCTCTCACCCTTTTTCTGTGCCGCTACGTCGCAGCTCAGTCCGGGCTTCTTCCTAGCCAACTCCTCCTCTCCCTCGCTACTGCTTCCTAAGATGATGCACTCTTCCTCACTCTGGTCAGCCACCGGTGCAGCCGTGGTCGATGTCGCTCTGACATCGGCGGCTGCCTTGGCTTCTCCCACTGGTGCGGGCACCGCCTCACTGCCGTCCAGGGCCGGTTGTGGGCTCAAGATCTCCATCAGCTCCGGGGGAATTGCGAATGCTGCGAAGTACAACAGCATTTTATAAAATGGCAGTCAGCATTATTGTTACAACGTCAACTTCACCAGGCTGCTGAACAGAAGGCCAGCGATGTGGCCTATCACAAGTCCCTGCAAATCCATCACACGTCCATCCAATCCTACGCCAAGCCACAAGCTACTCACTTTCATTGTGGCAAAACCATTCCTGTCATGTCGAGCCTGTTATTTGTGACTCATCTTCTGATGGGACTTGTGAACAGACATGCGATGGATTCGACTACATCACTGAAGAAAGTATTGCTGACTACATGCATTCAGCGGAAAAACAGTTTCAAGCAATAAATACCCTCAGAAATTCTTACAAGTATGTTGCAAAAGTTAAGTCCATTTGTTTCTTGGCTTGGGAAATTTGAGTGCTTCCATCATGTAACAATTCATAATGAGATGAGCTTTCTTCTCTCTGGCAAACAAGAAATAACCGCTCTAAGTGCCATCATACCTCCGTTCAGAGCTGCAGCATTTTTCTGTTCCTCCAGTCGTTTACGTCTCTCTTCCTCTTCTTGCTGGGCTGTCAATGTGTCTGCCGTCAGCTCCCCATGTGTCAAAAATTTCCTGCAAATGACAAAATGCATTACCTTGTGAGAATTTAAACACAATTCCTTAAGCTGAGAGCCAAGGAGCTCTACAGAATGCGAGTTCCCTAAGCACAAATCAACAAGGTACCAGCCAAATTGTGTGCCTCTTACACTGTTTACGACCGTTAGCCAGCTGAATTTCGGCTAAGCGAGACAAGTTTACCGAGCGGTACTTTCAGACAAGCGGCTAAGAGCCACTGAGCCCCGGTTTACATGAGTCAGCAGATGCCTCACTTAGCTCTAATGTGTATGTAAATCGCATATGTGTATGCATGCTTTGCATGTCCCAAACCGTGGCTACATAAAGCCAACAAGCTGGCATTTGTCCACTGCATGAGTCACTGAGAGCAACGGCAACCAAATTTGCCTGTTTTCAGTGCAGTCTACAAAGGCAGATGGAAAGAGTTCACACAGAAGTTGGAGTGGCCAGCAAGAGCCTCTGAAACGTTACAATTCAAGAGTTTGGGAATTGTCAAGTTACTTCTCAAAAAATGAGCCTAATATCAAGTTCTCCGGTACTGTCTACGAAAATCCCATGCATGATGTCTGATGCACAGAGGACGTGCAAACATGGTATTTTGCTTGAAATGCCACAGCACACGTACTTAATATTTCTCCTCCGGTGAAATGGTTTGCTCTTTCTTTTCTGCTTCTCCTCCGTCGCTTCTGCCTCGTCTCCTCCATTGCTCTCTTCCTCGCCTTCCGCTTGCCCTCTCTTCCGTCTCTTCCTCTTTGGCCCTGCTGGGAGTTTGCTCTTGTCCCTGGGCACATTTTTCCTCTTCCCTTTCGGCTGTGGCCCAGCAGGCTAAATGAAAAGGAAAAAAACTCATCTGGTTTGGTGCCTTACAATTTAAATTCCTACCCCCAAAGTATGTCTGGTTAGGCAACATGCTCGGAACCTAGATTGGTATCATGCTTGGCACCTATACCTGGAGCCTTGCTTGGAACCTTGCCAGGAATCCTGCTTGGCAACTTGTTTAGAACCTCCCTCAGAACCCTGCCTAGAATGTTGCTTAGAACCTCGTTTGGAACTCTGCTGAGAATCTTGCTTGGAAATTGCATGCAGCTTGGAACCTTGCTTGGAACCTTGCTTGGAACCTTGCTTGAAACCTGGGAACCTTGCCAAGAACTTACTTGGTACCATGTTTGGAACCTCACTTGGTCCCTTCGATTCTCCACCGTGCAGTAAACCTGTGACATATTCTCTGAGCTTAAATTTTCAAGGGGCACAAACTCCCCCCGTAAAGCAAACGTGGCTGGATTACACTTCCTCATTCCTGCAAACTCTTGGTATGGAATTCTGAAGAGTGAAGGGTTTAGGACCGACCTTGATGTCATCAGGCACACTCAGGAAGGACAGGGTGAGGTTTGCGTCGCCCTCTGCACCCTCAGCTAGCGGGGGTGCACTCCCAGCCTTCACAGTGGTGCTGTCCTCAGTGACACCATCACCAGTGCCATTATTGTCATTGCCATCTTCGTCTTTGTCCCCACTGCCACTGTCTGTTGACATCTGGTCATTGCTATCATCATCATCTGGCAAATCGGAAAGGACATTACTGAGACTGACTGCGTGCACCATCGACAATAGTTTTTTCAGGACTTTTTTCCAAAGAATTCCAAAGTTTGGTCGACACGTTACGATTTACACTAACGCATGGCCACAAACCAGAGGCAATTTCTTGCCGAAAAAATTTCCCATAATTTTTTTCTCCCTCGAAGACACGTAATCAATACAAAAAAAAAGGGAGCAAAACCTGAATACGACTTGGCATTTTGACAGAGTTCTTTGACGGCTTTTGAATCAGTGAAAGCTGCTTTACTGAGTCTGGGAGCAGTCTTGACCATGTTGACTTGCCAAGAGGCATCACAAGAACACGTTTGGTATATAAAAGTACAATGTGCATGTACAGGTACTATGAAGATCTGTCTCATATTAAAATTCCACACACTGTACATGTACATACATGTACATGCACATGCATATGCACCTTTTACTCTTATACATGTACAAGTACACATATGTACCTGGGGTGGAGTTGCTGTCATCAAAATTGAAGTCGGGCAAACTGCTTGAGCCAGAGGCAGGAGAGAGAGAGACGTCGCTGCCAATGCCTTCCGGAAGGAAGTCATTGGAGTTGGAGGAATCGTTGCCATCGCTGATGACTTCCGAATCCATCTTGTGTGGATCCTCCCTCCTTTAGAATCAGATCTGTTGGGGGTAAAAAAGGCACCGTGTTCAGAAAACCTAAACATTTGAAGTAAAGGAAGGGTTTTGTCTTGATAGATACTGTGCCAAAACCCCTTTTCAGGGGTCACATGGGCAGGATTGGTTGCGCGCATGGATCTGTGATATAGTTACTTACGTTGTTGCTCCACCTTTCGGGTGATATTGAAGTGTGTATTGAGGGCATTTTGGCAACTTTTTTTGTCCGGGATTGTTGTGATCTTTTTGGGCAAAGAGTTCCAGTCTACTAGCGTGTGTGGGAGAAAAGAGCACTTGTAGCAGTTCTTGTTTGCTGCAATCAGTATGAAATTATTTGTGGTTGGTGAAGTATGTCTGGTGGGTCTTTGGACCGGACGCAGGATGTTTCTCACTGGAACAGCAAGGTGACCCCCTTAGTGCGTGATGGAAGTTGATGAGCCTCGCTACTTTTCATCTTATAACTAGGTCCTCCCACTGGATTTCCTGTGTCATGGCAGTGACACTGCTCCTTCTGCTGTATGAGCCTGTGACGAAGCGGGCTACTCTATTTTGAACTGCTTCAATCTTGTCGATGAGAAGTTTTGTGTGTGGGTTCCATACGGAAGAGCAGTAGTCGAGTACTGGTCATACAAGTGTCTTCTACGCTATGTCCTTGATGTTTTTGGAGGATGAGTACAATTTGCGACGTAGAAAACCCAAAGTTCTATTAGCTTCGGCTGTTACTCTCTAAATGTGTGAGTTCCATGTAAGGTCCGGTGTGATGTTGACACCCAGGTACATGTAGGTGTGGTTTGTGGTTTCTTGTAATTGAATATCGATTAACCTGTATAAGAGTACTGTACTTGAGTGGAGATCTAGCTTGTGAAATTCTGAGCATGTGACATTTCTGGGCGTTGAGTTCCATTTTTTGCCATTTGTTTTGCCATGCAGTGAGTGTGTTGAGATCTGCTTGAAGCTTTACAGTATCTTCCGGACCAGCGATTGGTCCATCCGGTATGTGTATATGGATGTTCTGCGAATGTTATCCCGTGTGTATGTACGTGTACATGTACACATCCATTTTTACGTGAGTAAACTGCCTCAAGCTGAGTGTTACACTTAAATCCTTGCATGTGAACTTGTACATGTACGGCCTGTTTGTTGCACGCAGATTCAGATTGCAATCAGCTGATCAGTGATCTGATGTTCGTACTAGTCACCTTGCACATCACATACATGTACATGTATGTGTACATTAATTTATGACAAGCTACCCTAATTACTCAATGCAAGCAGTGTTACATAAAATGAACATATATACAGGTAGGCAAATTTAGACTTATGTAACCAACAGTACCCTATGTACATGTAGACGTGTATGCAGTGCACATGTAAATGTACAGGTACACTGACAGGGTTAATGACTTGCATAATATACATGTACATGTAAACTGCTTAGTATTATAAAATCAACACACTGTAAAGTGTACATGTACATGTATGTGCGGGAATTTTTGACCAGGAGGAAAATTCGACCAACTGCATTCAAAAACTACACAGCTGGTTGAACTTCTTGCTTTTCTGATGCGGTCGAACACCCCCCCTTACCCTACATGTACCGGTAATTCAGTGGGATATGACATACAATGAATATTTACGTGTATCTAGCACATGTACAAAAAAAAAAAAATCCTCACATACCGGTAACTACTGCCAAGGCAAAAAGCATTTGAATATATTCATGTTGCATTAAAGCCTTTCCACGTGTAAATTATGTACATGTACAATGTAAATCCCAAATGCTATAATTTGAAAGGTAAAAAGGTGGGCCCTACACAATGTGAATTGAACAAAATTAATTGGGAAATTGTTTCCAAAATGAAAAGAGACAGGCACCAGCACTGCTGCACATGTGTACATGTATGATGTACTAGCCAACTTATGATAAAAAGCCCCTGGTCACAGATACATGTGTACCATGCCAACTACATGTACTTGCACATGTCCAGTAGAGTACTTCAAACAAAATGTGTACAATATTGCTTTCCCGCAACATTTTGCAGCACTCAGGAAATCCACTAATGAATAATATTACAACAGGTACATGTAGTGAACAGTACCGGTACATGTACAACACTTGGTCAAGTGGTTCAAATCCCAGCCCTTTGCCATATTTGCCAACTTAGATGTGTGTGTACAAAACAAAGGGAGGATCTGCGTACATGCTTGTAAACATAGAGTACATGTACACCTGACATGGTTGGGAGTATGCATGTACATGTATGTGTGGTGGTTTAACCTGTCGACCGTCCTTACAGATAGTACATGTACATGTAGTTACACTTTACACAGCCATATATCGTGTTAACAAGTTCTTAAGTACCCGTACAGAGTGGTAAAGCCACAGTACAGATCAGAGTGGTAAAGCTACCTTTCTTTAGAGGGGGAAACCTTGTGTGGACCTCACTTAAGACCCCCTCAAATGTACATGTATACAAAATGTGCACCTGTTATTCGTCCATGGGTTCACATTTACATGTACACACATGCACATGATTAAACTCATTACTACGCACTTGTGCAAGAGCATCTTTGGCCTTCAGAACATGTACACGTACTGTACGTGTATATGTATGAACAAATCTTGACTTAACATGTGACGAAGTTGGGGTTAGTGCAAGTGAAGTCGTCGAAACTCAGTCTGGTCTAGATTCATGATGAAGAGTTTCTGGGTTCCTCGCGGGTGAATTCCTTGTCAAAGTTACTGATGTCGTGCATCCCTTTCTGTCGGTGCTAGTGCAGGAATGTAAGGGTAGGGAATAAGGTACATGTAGGCGGGAAGGACGTGAAAAAAATAACACAAGACGGGCGCGGTACTTATATAATGTACATTGTGTAATGCACATGTATGAACATATTTTTGTGGGAATTTGGGGAGTCAGGTTGGCGAATATGTAGAGTTTCTTTCTTTGTCTTCCGCCTCTGGGGGATTGGGTCCACATGTGGATTGGGTTTTCAGTCCCTACCCGAGTGTGTGGGTTTCCCCAAAACATGTATCCGGAGTTTTCCTCCCACCTCTAAAAACTGAACATTTCTTCACTGACTCTTTATCATCCAGTAATTGGTGCTAAATATGCTGTTGGATGATCGGATATAAATAAACAAAAAAAGGTTTTTGTTAAAAAATTTTTTTACAGTGCACCATCGTGATTGTGTACATAAACATGTACGTACATGTACATGTGCTTGGACATCATATGAACAGGCGCATTATACACTGTACCTTTGTAAAGTATCTCGTACATGTACATTGCTGTCTATCATGATGATGTTTATCTCACAACCTTGTCATTTTATTTCACTCCTGGAAGTGATGAACATTAAACCTCCCGGTTACAATGCCGCAGAGCTGTGGATGGGCTCTCTTTCTTCACTGAACATGCTGAAGCCTGCATGCACACTGAAATATTAGCCACTGGCTGGCTGGTGCTTTTTGAATTAGCACGGTAGGAGGAACGTAAAAGGTCACACAATGCATCTTGACACGTTTGAACAAGCAACTGCATATAAAAGCAACAAATGCTCACAGAGGGATTTGAGCTGATACATGTGTACAATTGCATGTGCACATGTACAGTACACTGTACATGTATGCAAATTATTACCAGTTGCACAGTGTACATGGAAACGAGCCTGTCAGCAAACTTCTCTCAGAGATGTTTTCAAGGATCACATTTGGGGTTCAAAATTTGAACACGAAACCACTCAAACTGAAGGGTGTCTTCCTGGAATTACATCACACTAACACGACAGCACCCTCATTTGTCGGAAGAAAGCTTGGTCAATTTTCAATTCTGAATGTTTAATTAAAATGTGCACTTTACAGTTCACGTACATGTACATGTAACTCCAAAAGGATTGCAAACTCTTTTCATACCCTGTTAAAAGAAGACTTTAAAATATGCACAAAAGTGAAAAATTCACTGCACTGCTCCTTTAAGCTGCTTTTGTTGTTCTCTGCGGATGTTAATAAGCACAAACACTGCTGCTACATTACATGTAAGCAGTGCTATTAAAATGAGCCCATTAACTTACACTTCACATGTACAGTAAATGTACTATACATTTTCCTGGCCACGACGAAAATGAAAGCATGCATAGCAGTATCACTCTTTTTTCACGAGCAGAAACATCCTTTGGGAATTACCCGTAACAGGACTTACATGTACCTGGTACACGGTACATATGCCTCGCAATACATGTACATACATACGCATATATGTATCGGTACTCTGACGTCAGAGAGTTTGCTAGGTGATTCATAAGCATACGTGCACATCATTTCTTGTTACATTTCAGATGCAACGTGCCACCTCGACAATTTATCTTTGTGACAGACCGTGCTTAGAAAATGTGCTCATTCAGTATTGGTGAAATTAACAACAGCAAACTGCAGCGGTGAGGTGGGATAGCGGATCTTTTACTCCCTCCCATCGCCTAGCCCCCCCTCTCCTCCCCTTCCATGACACAAAGCGATCCCACATCACAGTAGCGAACAATGTACACGTGTATGTAGGTTTACAACCGTGAAAAAAAAAAAAACTTTGATTATAGCAAGCCTTTCCTTTCTTGCCAGAAAATACGCGAGAATGAATGGCTTCATATCTGGTTCTCAGTCGTAACTCTTCATGTGAGCACCATAAGCATGGATACCTGGACCTGGGCATTGTACTGGGTCAACCATTGTCAGGTACATTACAGGATATATGCATTTAAAAGACTTACATGTACATGTATGGTCGCTCTCAACCAATGCACACGTACCATAATTACACTGCCATCCAAGCATACAATGCCCGGTGCATACATGCATGTTATACATGTACATGTTTGTAAGTACCCAGTACACTTCACTGTGAATTTGACTGCACACTGTAATAATCAATCAAGTTTTATTGCACGGTATATAGTACAGTGTACATGTGCAGCGTGCACCCATGCATCGCGACATGTACGTATAATTTGAACTGCAGTACACGTACATGTACATGTATTCAATTTCAAAGATCAGTCAAAATCTGAAGGGGGAAACACAAACCCCTCCCAACAGAGAAGGGTTTAGAGAAAAATGCAGTGCAAAGTCAGACTACATGTACATGTACTAGTAATATGTACGTGTATGAATGCACAGCTAATATACTGAGCAACCAAGACCATGTACGTGTATGTACATGTACGTAATGTACCACTACTTTAATTACATGGCTTCTGGAAACAGAATGTAACTGAACATACATTTACATGTGGTTAAGAATTGGGGGGGGGGGATTTTTTTGGGGGGGTGGGTCATGTGCGGCTGCATGTTGTTAGCTGATTAAAAATTACACCGAGAGAGTTTCAAAGGCATTTGCATCACAAGGACTGAACACCACTTCAATGGGTACAAGCTGCATGCATGCAACCTCACAAGGAATGAACACCACTTCAGAGGGTACCAGTTGCATGCATGCAACATCACAAGGAATGAACACCACTTCAAAGGATACCAGTTGCATGCATGCAACATGATAAGGAATGAACACCACTTCAAAGGGTACCAGTTGCATACATGCAACATGATAAGGAGTGAACATCATTTCAAAGGGTACCAGATGCATGCATGCAAGTTTGTGGAACTGTTTTGTACCACATTCAAACTATCAGTACACGTGTACCTGTCATGCCTGTACAAGAAACACATTCTTTTTTCTTTACTTCCAATTTCACATTTTCCCCAAATCCTCCCCCCCATGAAGTTTAGAGTCAACCAGTCAAAATAGGTAAACTGTACTGTACATATGTACATGTATGCAAGGAAATACTGGCTTAACCAATCACTCATGGGCATCTACATGTACATTCCGGAATCAGGCCTACAGTACAGCCATGGCCTCCCATATTCCAGGAAATCTCCCACAAACACATCAAACGGCAGCCACACCTTCCTCCAGAAAGAAGGGGGAACAAAGGGGAAAAAAGGGAGCACAGAAATACTGGTCCACTGTACAGGGATGGCTGAAGGAAAAATGCTACACGTACATGTACGTGTGTATATACATGTACATCTAGTAGTCTTTGAGTGACCTTATCAATAAGTCATTTGCAAGTTAAATTTAAATAAAATCTGGTACACTGAGTTCTTTAAATTCACGCGTACATAACAACTTGACTTCTCCATACTAAAACCACTGTTGCTATACCTTGTGATTCGGGGCAAGCTTTTGCTTAGTTACATAAGAGATGCCTGGCAACAATACACTGTTCTCAATGGATAAGAACGGCACAAAGGAGCCAGTCCATTCCAGAGATGGTGGTCGCTATGCAAAAGCTTGCCCCGAATCACAAGGCATAGCAACAGTGTCTTTAGTCTGGGAAATTCAAATTGTTACGTTTCTGTGCAATCAGATAACACAGTGTACCAGATTTTATTCAAATTTAACTCGCAAGTTGCTTATTACTTTCATGGGCAAAAACAATGGGTACTGTGCATATACATGTATGGTGTTATACGTGTTCACGTACTGTACTGAGCGATCATATTATTTGTTAGTGGTGTGGTGGCTGTTTTTGTGAGTGGTGTGAGAGTGTGCATGTCCGCTACAACCACCACATTACAGTCACAAGCTATTCTGAAGAACTGCAACAAAAGGATTCGTTTGTCAATGTGCACCCTCTAACAAGCACATGCACATGTACTTGGGACTGATCTTGTGAACGGCCTTGCGACTGGTCTTATGAATAGTCTTGTGTCTAGTCTTGCTTCAATCTCAATCAAAGTTCTACAGCACTGTGGGGAGCCCCAATCTACAGGGGTCTATACTGTGGACACAAATTGAATAAAATGTGTATTTTGGCTCCCACTTTTTCAACTTGGGGGTAATGGCTTTTTTTTTTGGAAATCACTCCGCTGCCATTGGTTTTGCTAAATTCACAACTGACGCACCTGCAGACCCAGAGATCCGGGCAAGACCCATCACGGTCATTTTGGAATTTGTTTCCTCCAAAATAAGTTTCACAATCATTGTTTTTTTATAAATTAAATACAAAGCAGGGTAGCTCATTTTCTTTTTGTGATTTGTGATTCGGGAAGAATATCTTAAGGTAAAATTTCCAAAATTGCACCCGGTCTGAAATCCATCTTACACAAATTCACAATTAGTCACCAGGGGGTGGAATGACCCGCTGCGGTGCATTTTCCCATGTGCCAAGCCTTTAGGAGTTTTTTCAGTAGACCTTTGTGGTCATTTTTACACCAAGTCTGTAAAAATCGAATGAACCCTTCTCGCACACCACTCATTTTTCAGAGACAGGTCAGTCCAAAAAATGTAAACTTTTCCACAGGCATACTCCATGCAAAGGACGGCACACATGTGGCCTTCAACTTTAAATAACTCTAACAAAAAAAACATAAACGCACCGGGTATGAATTACAAAGAAATGTATTTTTGAATGTACCCAATTTTAAACAAATTGGACATGACACAGCAGAGTTCTTGGGAGGGCAAATGTTGAGATGGCCTGATCTTGCATGTCTTATCTAGTCTTGCTTAAACATGTTCAAAGGACTTAACCACAAACCCAGTGTACAAAGGAAAATTTTTGGTAAGAGTTCCATATGCGGACACCACCACTTTTCCTTTAAAATGTTACAACAGCCATCAGAAAGTGATATCATGTCCCAAGTAAAAAGCGAAATTTAGCAAAGAAAAAAATTCCTAAGCATTTACTTTGAAAACAATTTGGTTTTTTCAGACAAGTCTCATAGGTTTGTGCACAGGGGCATCAAGTGTTGTCAATACATGATTGTATAATATACATGTAGAACTCTTTCCAAATTTACATATACGTACAACTGGGTTCCAGTCTTGGATACGACCTCTTGTGTCATTGGTTAATTGGTCACCTCTTGGTCATGTCTGTCCCTGTGAGCATGGTACTTTGTAAGGCCGATGATGTAGATGTAAACAAGTTCAGTGATCTTGATCATGCGTGATGATCTGCTGATGATCAGCTATTAACTGTTAGTGATGACAGCGTAGCATACACTTTCCTGACTACAGCAAAATCACTTCAAAATTTAGATGAGCAACATTATGGATTCAGCCTAATGTATGCATAACATGGGTCATGCTATTTAGCATCAACAAGCGTCAACAAGTTATTCAAGCATATTTATGCAAAGATTTTTATCTAAAATGTTAATAAGGATCCTAAATATATGTACATGTATTATACAAGTATCAATCTCAAAAGATATTTGAGTGTTGAAATTTGAGTGGCAAAGTCAGGCCTGTTTGTACAGTCCGACCGGCTGCCATCTTGTTTTCGCGTGGACGGCAGAGAAAAGAAAGATGGCGGCCCCTATACAGCGCGAAAAATTTTTGTTTTCCTGCTAGAATTTGGAAGCAAATTTGAAGTTTCTCTTATACCAACCTGTATACAGTGGCAAGTGTTAAAGTCTCTAAAATATAATAAAACCACTTAAAAATTTGTAGAGGGTAGCACCCTATTTTCAAGTTGTTGACATTACTTGTGTGTGTGGACGCGTGTTGACGCTAAATAGCATGACCGCATAACATTATTATGTACTATGTGCTGTGAATACATGCATCTCCCACACTGTACCGAAAAGGTTCAGTCATTTTCATCATGTTGCTGCAAGAAAAGAAGAAATCATGCAAATTCCTGTACAAAGTGAATGGAGAGTTGCCCCTTTGTGCTTTACCCAGACGTGAGTGCAATTATGGAATCATGGAATAAAAAAAACCACAGGTGCAATAAATCATTAAATGGAACCTCCGACCGCGAGAATGTAGGCCTAGGCCTACATTGGAAAGGATACTGACAGTCAAGACTACTCTGCTTCATGTACATGTAGTAGGCCAAGGCCTACGTTTTAGTATGTAGCTTCCAGTTCAGTCACTGGAAGTGCTGTTAACAATAACAGTCATGACACTACACGGTCATTCATATTGATCATTTATGCCAGTGTTCAGGGTGTTCATGTTAAAATTTAAAATGGAAATTAAAACATGTAAAAATAATCCGTTCCTTTGACTTACATGTAGGCCCTACCTACCCGAAATTCCTCAGAAACAGGAACTTGGTATGTGCTGTTTCAAGCAGTCACATGAAGCCCAGTCATCTCTAGTTGAGTTCTGAGGCGGCGATTTACGTAAACGAAAGGTCACAAATCAGCCGCGAACATGACAAATTAAACGCTTTCAATTCCGATTCCGTCGTCAGCCGGACACAACGCGCACATCGATGTCCTTTGTGTTGTCTGTTATGCAAGGGGAAAACCCAACTAAGAATCTGATCGAATCAGGAACCTCGCCCGTTTTGAGTAAACTTTTACAAGTCGCCCCTTGTGTGTGATGCACCATAAGGGGCCGTCCATAAAGTACGTACATACGTCGGAAATGTCGGACTATTCAGACCCTTATGGCGTACGCAGTGGCTCCAACCCCCTCCAGTGGCGCAGTCACGGGGGCCCGGGGGCACGTCTCTCCCCCTACAAATTCCAGGTCCCCCCGACACACACTGAAAAAACTCACAAAAGCAGAATCTGGTATTTGTTTGTACGAGAAAGTGTATTGATATGATGAAGATTCATTAAGAGCAAATTTTCGGTTTGTGTACTGTACGCATTGGCTTGAACCCCCCCGTACGTATCATGATGTAAGGGTACCCGCCCCTCCCCCTTCCTGCGTACGTACTTTATGGACGGCCCCTAACTACATAAACTCTGATAATCGGTGTGAGGACCGGGACGGGGGGGGGTTATGTGACATTTGCTGTGTCGTACAACTCTACCAAACAGTTGTGTTATTAGCCTGAGGTGTTTTCCCCCTAAAATAGTCTTCAAGTTGAGCAATAAGGGTGTTGATTGGAGTTATTGCAAACTTGTTGTAAGTAATTACGATACAAACATTGACTACTTCGAGTGATGTAATAAAGTTACAGCTTTGCCTCGGGCGGGAAAACTGAATTTTTGGATCATCAAGGAAGCCATTAGAAACATGGTTTGTATCCAACTCCACGGCGATTTGAAGTAGTATGTATATCAAACTTTTTCCTGCGTAAGGAGGGAAGGGGACTTCCGCCTCCCCTCCCCCTTTTTGACTTTGGGGCACTTTTGGCAGGTTCGGCTTTATGGAACAGTCTAGGTGATGCCTGACAGTCTCATCCCCTCCCCCCCTTGAAAATCTTTTCGTCGCCGGTTCGTTCTCATGTGAAGCCTGTGATGTTGCCATCAACGCCAAAACCAAACGCATCGAGTTGCACGGTGGCATACCACACGTGAGGTCCGTTTAAATACAAATGGAGACCATTGTGGGGGCTGGGCAAGACTAGTTTACATTTCTCTTCCCTTTTTTTTTTTTTTTTTTTTTTTTGGGCAAGTACTTTACTTCCAAATCTAACTTTTGAAAAGGGGAAATAATCGTAGTACTTCCGTTGCTGTTTGGACTTGGGACAAGTTTACATTGCAGATTCTCAAAAAGCTGTCACATGTGCCAAATTGGGAATTGTCCAGAGTGGAAATGGCTGAGGAAGTGACGGAGGCTCATGAAAGACACCCTTAAATATGTTTCTGCCAACAGTTTCAGACGCACCCACAGCCAGTGACAGCGCCCACCACCAACTATCAGATGGAACTCGCTGTGGTCACTTGCGCTAGCTGCGTACTGAACTAAATCTTTATCTCACTCTTGAAAAGGGAAAAATGCTCAGCAGTACAATGTGCACAAGCACGTTCTCGTAGAATGGGTGAACGTCTCAAAACTACCACGAGAGGGCTCACTTCATTATCATTGGCCGAGCTAGATTAATTATGGGTGACATGATCAGCTCAGATGATATGCTCCACATCATATCACCAGTCACGTTCGATGGTCCTGGGCTGGGTGGTGAACTTGTCACCTCCCGTTATCTTTTCAACTTGGCGTTGGCTCAGGGACAACTTACAAGGAAGCAAGTGTGTATCCCCATCCCTTTATAAGGAAGGTAAATTAGAATTAACGCCAAAAGATTATCTAGTGTTGATAAAACTTGATGCCAATTCAAAACACTGAGACTGTTTTTAATTTCATTGGGCAACAATCCCCATTTCATGCATTTGTTTGCTGGCATGACTAGTCTAGGTCTGCGCTTATGTACTGATTGTTTCATCTGTGCCGGGGAGAATTATTGTATGTTCACAACACTGTATTTTGGTCATTGTCAGTGTCAGGACGTATCGTAAGTTTGGCTAGAAAACCTAGACTATCATGGTGAACATATGGCATGATATGCGGCAGTGGCATTGATCATCAGTGGTCATGTTGATCAGTTTTCATGTCGATGAGAACTTCGAACATGTCAGAAGATGCATCAGTCTTGTGATGAGAATATCCTCATGTCATGAGTTATGGCGTGCAAAGCCGGGTTTTCCAGACTACATGTACTGTAAGTTGTCATTTTTACCCCAGCATATGTGACACTGGCAGCGAGAGCAAACAGATCTTTGATCTGTTAATGCTGCTACGCATGTCAGATGGGATTTGTCGATCTACTCAACTAATCGCTGGATTTTATGCAATTGGTAGATCCTGGTGCACAATCTCTCAGTCTTTGTGCCACCAGCCAATCACCATTTCTGTTGAATTCCCAGGTTTGCTAGAGTTTTTTGAAAAAAGAGAACTTCTCGGAGAAGTAAAGACTGAGACCGGTAATTCCTCCAACATGTCCAAAGGATTGAGAGGTACATGTAAGCATCAGGATCAATAGACATGATCTGACTGTGTAAAAGCATAAAGGAATGCAGTGCAGATGAATGGAGTATACGCACATGTAGGTTGACACGTTGGTTCTCACACTAATGCCTTTTGTCCACATGCATGTAATTTTGACGTATTCACTTTTATGACTTTGGTACTCTATAGAGTCTCCGAGTGAATACAACACGGACACAATGAAGTGCAGAAGGCAGTAAGCGAGAGACCGTGCGTGAACCAACATGCATGTTCTCCATTCATATATACACTTCGCTTCATAGCCAAGTATGGCCTCACACTTCGGTACTCTACATGTATGTAGTTGGGGCAGAACAGGGTCGTGCGAAGAAGGGCTGCCCTCATTTTCTCCAAACACACCTCCCTTCTTTCCTTTCGTTTTCAGTTTGGATACATTCTTGCATGTGGCTATTTGAGTCCCGCACAGATCCAGAGCAGTCATGAGCTACAGGGCGCTGTACAAGTACCGTTCCAGCGAACCAAACGCACTGTGCTTTGAAGAGGGGGACAGATTCACCTTGCTGGACAGCAGTGTCGACCCCCACTGGTGGCAAGTGGCAGATGTCCAAGGACATGTGGGCTTTGTGCCGGCCAATTACATTGAGGAAGTCAGAGGTGATGTAAGTACAGAACACCTTCTTATTATGTGCAATAGCAAGTTTTGAAGAAATATTGAAGAATTCCCAATTCTGTCTGCCCAATGTTTAAGATATGTAAGGGGTACCATCAAAACCGATTTGAAAGGTTCGTGCTCTGTACGAAATACAAAATTTCAAATGTTAGCATTGTACCATACTTTAGGGTGCTTGTTAAGAACCGACTTTTGTGCAAACAGCGTACATTTCTCTCTGTCGTTTTGATTGCCTGGAAAAATTAAAGTCACCCGTCACTGTCATTCTGTCCTGAAGGAAACATTGGCAAATCCTGATGTAGCCGTATGCACTTACAGACCGTAGAAATTCACTGCACTGGCTACCCTAACCCTCCTCATTCCTCCAAAATCCTTTGGGCGGTTTTTGGAGGATTTTGGAGGATTGAGGATGAATGGCAAAAGTGCATGGCTTATTTCGAAGGATGCCATGCATGAAGGTTGTGAATTAGACCTTGTGTTGTTTTTGCTTAGTCGTGCATAAAATTCAGCCCGATATTTCTTTTAAATCAACCGTACTGCTCAAGAATGCCATTCCCAATGCCTCAACATAATGACAGGAATTTGCCAGAGGATTTTGAAGGACTGAGGCAGTAGGCACGCCTCCAAGTAACATGTTCAATAAATTTTGGAAGATTTCAGAGGATTGAGGGAAAATCCAATTTTTAACCCCCCCCAATTTATTGGAGGATTCTGGAGGATTGAGGAGGGTCCCTAGCAAAAAGGGCCTGGGGTTTTAGGGCTAATGGTAAGTACTGAAAACTTTACTGGATTTTAGTGATACTATCATTTCCACTCACTGTTGAACCAACTACAGCTGGAGGATTAGCATGTAACATCTGTTGGGGAAGCAAAGTCAAACAGAGTTGATGCCTAAATGTTGTAGTTCAGATATGTTAACTGGGTGTAGGCATTCACAGGTGAGTATAAATGTCTGGAAAACCTTGAGGTTAACACCTGTTTTGGACATCCTGCCATTTTGACATTTGTTTCTTGTCATTTTAATTTTCCCAGAAACTGGACGATGTCATATCCTCCATCGACAGAGCCATTGAGTTCATCCACCTGTCTGGAACCGAGAAGGGGGGAACGTTCACATCTGAACAGAGAAAGACATTACAGTAAGCTACATCAACGCTTTGCCTTAAGACAAAGGTCCCAACCTTGGAACATTTGGAAAGGAATCAGAAGTATTATCAGAGTTGCCAAGCTGGCCTGAGTTATATCCATTAAACATTCTTGGATCCTTCGTATCAGCATGATCAGCCGGCAATATCATTGTCTGGCACTGTTCCAAGCTGGAGAGGGTTTTGGCAAAACTTGAGCTACATTTTAGATGAGCTAAGGATATGTGAAAATCATTCCTTTAAGCTGTCTGAAAGAGCCTGTGTTGGTTTCCTTTGGAAGAATTGAAAACCACTACAATCCTTTTCTCCCTCGATCCTAAAAGAGCTCGGCTGTTCCGTGGCTTACCTTATTAAAGCTTAACATGTGTGTAAAGACATTCGTCATGAGTATATCTTTAAAGATTTAATTAATTGGACGTAGGGTTCTCTTTCTGTGGTCTTTAATTTATTGTCTGTCACTTATTTTGGCATTGAGTGCACTGAGCATATGTTATTGGGGAAAATTAGCATTTCTGGCTGACTCGTCTTGGTAAAATGAAATTTAAGGAGAGTGGTCAAAATGACCACAAGGCTTCATTTGAAAATCTTGATGTAGTGCAATATTGGAGAAAATGAACGGCCCCCGACTTTTTCAGGATAAAATTATGAAAAGATGACAAAATTGGACATTTATCCTTTGCTTTGTTTTATGCACATAAAATATTTCCTCTTGGTTTTTGTTATGATGAAAGAAAACTCATTGAGCATCGACAGACAGTATTAAACACCTGGCAGACCAAGTCCGCCGACAGCTCGGCCAAAAAGCAACCGCCAACTCGTTCTACGTCCCGATCCTCAGGGAAGCATCGGTCGGCCCCTCCCCCGCCCATGCGAGCCGGCAACGCCAAACCAGCATCCACAAGCCCGCCGGCCACAGGCCCCTCCCAGACGGCCCCACCAAACGGCCGAGTCTCGTTGCCTGCATCTGACAGCAGCGACAGCGAACGGGGGCACACGAAACATGAGGAGACAGTGGGCTCGGCCATCAAAGTGTCTTCCCCGGTGCGGAGTCCGTCTTCGCCGGTGCCCGACAAACTCGGAGAGGAGTTGGTGGAGGTCGTGCGCGTTGAGACTGGTCTTAGCTTTACAAAATGCACCATGGCGCTCAGCGCCGCGTTTAGTCGTGTGAGAGATGCTGTCCCCTCCATCGCTGGGCCAATGGATGAGCTCCTGCAGTCTCTACAGCAGATGTCAGTAAGTGCAATTGTTAGATTTTACTGCCAAGGATCACGATTCATTTTCCTTGAAATCTTAGGGCCTCCACCACTAAGTACCTCCAAACTGTGACAGAGATCTGATAGAACGTCAGTGCTTTGAAGTCACCAAACAATTCTTATTTGCCTGCACTAAGATGGCAACAAGTTGTTGTTAAAAGCACGGATATGTGAACGCTGCAGGTATGTGCAATGTATTTCCCACATTGGAGCTAAGGTTAATAAGGTTAGTTCCTGTAAAGGGTACATCAAGCAATCATGTTCTTTTCAGGAGGATATATAAGACCAAGACGCTCGTGAAAGACACTGAAGGGTTGTAGCTACTGTAGGAAATTTTTAGTGCTGGCTGTTTTTGACAATTTAAAAAAAAATCAAAACAGACCATTTCCTCTGTCAACGCTAAAAAATTGCAATAATGTGTTATACATTTTAATTTGTGCTGGTTGGCAAGCTTCATTTTCATTCCTAGTGCCAGCCGGCAATGTTGAGTGGTGGCTAGCACCAGCCGGTGCTGGCCAGCGTAGCTACAACCCTGTTTGTGATTGGATCTCACAAAAGCAGACTGTGTTTTCAGTGATTATGCCTTCTCAAGGCTAAACTTGCTCTCTGTTTTTGATACATCACTTTCTTTTCCATTCTGAAGAAAAGGGATATTTTTGTTTGGGAAAGATAGTCAGGGTTGCCACTGAATTACAGTTAACAATGTTTCAAGGCCCTCAAACTAAAAAGTGGCTCCACTGACTTCCGACTCCTTTGGCTGGGCGGGGTCACATTCAACGACGCCGTTATGCATTAATTTTTTGTCTCTTCCTTGAGCAGAATTCTTCGGTCTCTGACGGCAGGGTGACCCTGGAGGGCAGCAAGGACAAGGAGAGGTTAGAGGTCATTTTTGCAGAGCTGACGGACTGCAAGAACGACTCTCAGCAGAGGAGTTGGGCCCTGCACGAAGACGAGGCCGTCATCACTGAATATCTGGAGGAGCTTATCGCAATCTTGGTAACAAACATAACCATTCCACCAGTGCTGTAACTAAGTTATTTTCCAACAAATCAAGCCAAATCACTGCTTATTTTTTCAATTCAGGTCACCGTCATGTTTTTTCCTAGTCAAGTCCTGAGTCTCAGGTCCATAGTCTTCAAGTATAATTCCAAAATTCGTCAAAGGATATAATGTGGCGTCTTGTCAAACACACCTGCACCGGTGCACCTTAAAACCAGTCATTTGCTCACTTGATGTTTCACTGTCTGGGTCTGAGTTGCATGCCAAAAGGATAAGCCATGTTGATATCTGTTCTGATCTTTCAGAGCGACGCAAACCCGGATGTGTGCAAAGCAGTCATACAGAAAGACAACTATGAGATCATCAACTCACTCGTCTCGTATTACCAAATGGTAAGAAATTGTACTCCTGTGAGAATTGGTTCAGTCTTTTTAGAAGGAAGTAGAATTTCGGTTGGACTTGTCAAATCTTGTACATTTAAAGCTTTATCTAGGGTGTGATGAGGTCGGCACTTTTTTTATTTGATAGATTACGGACATAGCTTGAAATTTTGCAGGGTCGGAGGATGGAAAAAACTTTAGATAAAACTTTTCAGTTCCATTTTTCTCCAACAATGAAATATCTAGGGTGATAGGTGAAATGAATTAAATCTAGTTTTTTTTTTTGTTTTTCAAACACTAAAACGCACTGTCAGGAATAAAATAATGTCAGTTTTGTCATTTTTTCCCCACTAAAACTGCATTATTTGCAGTGTGTAATCCAACTGATAAATAAAAAGTTGTCCTAATGGACCGAGCCAAAGGCCTTGGGGGGAAAAAGTGAAACTAATTTGGAAATTTATATTTTCCCGAAGACTTTGTTCATCAGTTTACCCTTTGTTTTATGAAACACCCCTTTGGCCATATCTGTGGTATGAGCCTCTTCTAACTATTATGAACTGCTGGACTGGTGATCCAGTGACAAATTCGAACCCTTGAAGGGGTTGAGCAGTTCTAAATGAATCTGTTTTATCGTCCACCAGGAGCATCGCACCTCCCTTCGCCTCCTCCTCCTCAAGACGTTCGGCGTGCTGTGCGGCCTGGAGTCGGCCATCCTCAGCCAGCTGCTCAGCTCGGTGCTCCTGGTGGAGATCGCCCGCGACATGCAGGCGGATGCCAACTGCCTGCAGAAGGTCTACTTCTCCTCCCTGGTGGCCACCATGCTGCTGTCCGGTGGGACGCCGCTGCCCTACACGCACTACGGTGAGTGGGGGGGGGACTTTGTGGAACAGGGGCTAAGTACTGTGATTTTGCAATCGACTTTAGAAGCCATTTGGCACAACACTCGCGGATAGATGGTATGTGCATGTTATATGCCTCTTTCACCAATAGGGCGTCGCGATTTACCAAATGCACACGTGTGTCGTGCCGAAGAATGTATGTCTGAGTGCAGTGCCCTGTAGTTATGGCATCTCATTGGGTTAGGTTATAGATACACCTTATCAGACGAGACCAGGGCTGGATTGTCAACACAGGTACAGCTTGCGGATTCAAACTTCAGGCAATTGCCAAAGGGGAACAAATTTGATGACACAAGACATCTGCAAAATCACATCACCAGTATTTTTTCTGACATCACAATTCTGCATTTATGTTTCCTGTCACACCAAGTGTGAACCGGAATTGAACGTGTTTGTCTTTGAGGCAGTGTTGAGACTATGTTAGTGTACGGCAGAGAAAGGTGACTTCAAAAGAAATCTCAGTTGATGTCCTTGAGGCAGTGTTGGTTACTGTGTTAGTGTACGGCAGAG